TTCTTTTTGCTTATGTGGTGCTGAGGAATCGAACCCAGGGCCTCATGCATGCAAGGCAAGCACTCTACCACTGAGCCACCTTCCCAGCCCTAGGCATGATTTTAGAAGAGTGAGTTAGTTATTCAAAGGTCTGGGGACCATGCTTCATAAAGGAATTCTATTATAAATCTTTTCTTGCAAAGTGAATACTTGAAAACTGACTCTTTCGCTGGATTACCCTCCTCCAGTTCTTTCAAGTGGTAGAGTGACTATATCAGCAACAAATATAACTGATTCAACTAAGCCCATTTGTGGGTTCTTGAGACTATAAATTCTGTTTCTCTTTATTCAGCAGAAAAACAATAACAAACAAAACCCATCCTTACTAGCAACACTAACCAAACTCCAGAATCTATTAAAGCTGAGAGAAGACTGGGAATGTGGCTTAGTGGTAGAGTGCCTGCCTGGCATGCATGAGGTCCTGGGTTCGATTCCTCAGTACCACATAAACAGAAAAAGCTATAAGTGGGCTCTGTGGCTTGAGTGGTAGAGCGCTAGCCTGAAGCACAGAGAGGCTCAGGGACAGAGCCCAGGGCCCTGAGTTCCAGTTCCAGGACCAGCAAGAAAAAAAAAAATGATGAGGGGAAAAAAAAACCCAGGTTATCTCTTTTCCCTTCCTTCCTTCCTTCCTTCCTTCCTTCCTTCCTTCCTTCCTTCCTTCCTTTCTTCCCTCCTTTCTTCTTTCTTGTATTGCTTAACTGGAGATAAGAGTTTTATGAACTTTCCTGCCTGGGCTGGCTTTCAACTGTGACCCTCAGATCTCAGCCTGTTGAGAAACTAGGATTACAGGCATGAGCCACTGGTACTTGGCCAATAGCTCCTTTTATTTGTGGCAAGGTAGTTCTTTTAGAGACCACTAGAATTCTAAATTCATATCAAGATGTACTATAAAATCTGGACTTCTACTTGTGCAAAAGTGTCATATGTGACTTAGCGCTAGTGGCTCATACCAGATATCCTAGCTACTCAGGAGGCTGAGAATGGAGGATCTCAGTTTGAAGCCAATCTGGGGAGAAAAGTCTGGAAATTTTTATCTCCATTTAGTCAGCAAAAAGCTGGAAGTGAAGGTTTGGCTCAATGGTAGAGCACCAGCTTTGAGTAAAAAAGCCAAACAAGAGCTTGAAATACTGAGTTCAAGTTCTATACCAGGAGAAAAAAAAGAGCTTATGAACTTTATTTTGTTTTTGTCCATAAGAGATTTTGCCCCCTTGAGACAGGATCTCACTACATATTCCAGACTGGCTAGGTACTTATTATAATGCTAAGGTTGGCCTTCTTTTTCATGCCTCAGCCTCCTGAGTGTATGATTACAGGCATGCATCATTAAATCAGGCCTCCTTAGGTGATATTAAAAAATCAGCTTTTCTCAGCATTAAATGTCTTTGAACTCCGCACTACACTTTCTAATAACTGTCCCGAGGCAGAATGACAGGATGATTGGCAGGAGGGGCATTCATGAACAAGTGTTTCTTGGGCTCTTGCTATATGCAGTACCTGGTGTCTTTTCAGAACCCAGTTCTGGGGAGTTGGGAAGGTTGGAATGAGAGTAGAATTAAGAGTTTTGTATTATTATGTTCTTTGGACTTTAAAATTCTGTTACTCTTTGCTCAGAACTTTGATTATTCAAGGTGGCCTTTCCAAGAGACATGTGTTTTGTCATTGTAGCTGTTATTCTTTGCAGACATTACCATGCTAATTTGTCAGAGTAAGCAATTTATATGTTTGAAGCATGGTCTAGGTTAGTCTGTGGGTTGCCAGCCTAGCTGACCACTTAATTAATCAGTGGGCTTTGCAAGGATTGGTGGGACCTGGTAGTGTCAGTTTATTAGAATTTGACCCCATACCTTGATTATTAGAAATGTTCTTGCTTGCTAGGTACTGGTAGCTCATGTCTGTAATCCTAGCTCCTCAGGAGGCTGAGATCTGAGGATCACAGTTCAAGGTCAGCCTGCATAGAAAATCCCACAAGACCTTTATCTCCACTTAACCACCAGAAAACCAGAAGTAGAATTGTGGCTCAAAGTAATAGAGTGCTAGCCTTGAGCAAAAGAGCTCAGGGATGGCGCCCAGCCCCAAGTTCAATCCCCATTACTGACAAAAAAAGAAAAAGAAAATAAAATGTCCTTGTTTGAGGGTGCTGCAGTCAGGTGGGGAGCATTCAGCCCTTTGAGGACCTCAAGTCCCCTTCAGAGTCTATTACAGAGACTCAAAACCCAGAGACACCCATGCAATCATAGCACCCTTCACTGTATGATGCAGCACTCAGGGGTTAAAAACAAGAGAACTACTAGTCAGGGATTTTCAGTAGCTCTGGTACCCAGCATAACACAAGATTTTCTAGAGATAACTGAAGTGGAATAATGGGTGAATCAAAGCCAGGATTTTCTGAAGTATAATGATTTACTTCCAAGGTATATTTAAAATTTCATTTCTGTAAGGACTGCTCAAAGAGTTTTGATTACGCAGTTTGAAGTTTGTCTGAAAATTTGCTTCAAAATAATCTTCATGTCAGTAATTTCCACATCCTCATTGCTGACTCTCCTGACTCTAAATTTGTCTTCAGTTGTGATGTCTTTGTGTTGTTTTTGTTCATTTCAACTTGCATTTAAAATGTCTCTTAGTTGCTATCCTGTTAAAGGACCACTAAGAAGTGGTGGTGCTGGAAACCCTTGCTAGATATGAAGGGTCAAGATTTCCTAAGAATAAAGGGAACATCTTCTTTTCATAACATGTGGCATTTCTAGCTATGGCTATTTGACTAAGATTGAAAAATTATCAGTAGTAGTAATATCCCTTTAAGAAAATATTTGGGGCTGGGAAGGTGGCACAGTGGTAGAGTGCTTGCCTCGCATGCATGAGGCCCTGGGTTCGATTCCTAAGCACCACATTAGCAGAAAAAGCCGGAAGTGGCATTATGGCTCAAGTGGTAGAGTGCTAGCCTTGAGCTGAAGAGCGAAGGGACAGCGCCCAGGCCCAGAGTTCAGGCCCATGACTGACAAAAAAAAAAAAATGGTGCTGGTGCCCAGTGGCTCATGCCTGTAATCCTAGATACTCAGGGGGCTGAGATCTGAGGATTGAAGTTCAAAGCCATCTGGGACAGGAAAGTCCAGAAGGCTTTTATCTTCAATTAGTCATCAAAAAGCTGGAAGTGGAGCTGTATTTCACGTGGTAGAGCACTAGCCTTGAGCAAAAATAGTTCAAGGACAGTGCCCAGATCCTGAGTTCAAGCCCCAGGGCTAGAATCAAAAAAGGAAGGAGGGGGTGGGGAGGGAGAAATAATTTGGTATTGGGTACTGATGGCTCACACCTGTAAACCTAGCTACTTAGAAGGCTGAAATCTGAGGACTGTGGTTCAAAGCTCAAAGACAGACTAGGCAGGAAAGTCAGAGACAGTTTTATTTCCAATCAGCCACTAAAAAGTTCTAAGTGGTATTGTGACTTAAGTGGTAGAGTGCTAACCTTAAGTGAAAAAGCTAAGGGTGAGTTCCAGGCCCTGAGTTCAACCCCTTAGTAATGGCACAGTTAAACACAAATCAAACAATAGCAACAATAAAAAAAAGGAAATCATTTAGTGAATCTGTAGAAGGAAAAATGCTGACACAATGTTTACTTTTCCTAAGTGGACATTGATTTGAATGTCTAGGATTTATAGGAAATTCCCAGTGTCTCTGTTTCTATGTGTTTTTTTTGTCTCTTTTCCAATCTTGAGAATTGAACTTGGATCTCATCATATATACAAGCAAGGCTCTACCACTGTGTCACTGGGCTACACACGAATACCTCGTCCTCTGCACGCACACACACACACACATATGCACACCCACACACACACACACTGGTACTGGGGTTTGAAAACAGAATTTCATGTTCTCATCCAACTTTTTCACTCACAGTTGGTGCCCTACCACTTGAGCCAGGCCTCTATTTCTAGCTTTTGGCTGGCTGGTTGGAGGTAAGAATTTCATGGATTTGTTTGCCCAGACTTCAAACCACAATCCTTAGATCTCCTGAGTAGCTGATTACAGATATGAGCTACTGGTGCCTGATATCATGTCTACTTTATAGGAAGACAATTCTAGTAATTTTATATTGCTAGATGTGGTCTTATTAACATAAAGGATGTTAAAATGAAATTGGAGATTAAAAAAGTTATCCTTATGCTTTTATAGTTGTCTGATGCTGTGTGTTCCTTAAATTCCCAAATGAACTTTTGTAGGGATGAGGGGAAGTGCGTAGAAGGAATTCTGGAAATCTTTGACATGCTCCTGGCAACAACTTCAAGGTTTCGTGAGTTAAAACTCCAGCACAAAGAGTATCTCTGTGTCAAGGCCATGATCCTCCTCAACTCCAGTAAGTATCCACACAGCCCAGCCATACTCCATGAGGGAGAGACTCTTCCTCAAACTGGCACAGTGTGAAAAGAGTATTGAATGTCTGTGTTTGAACAGAGGATAATGGCTTCCTTTCTGACTTCTCTGTTTTTATTTTTATTTTTGTAGGGATTTAACCAGTATTTAACTTTTGGTACCAAGTATGAATTATTCATTGGGTGAGCTACTGGCAATGAAGTTAAAGAGTTGTTGAAGCTCGAAAAGAACAAAATTAGTGTTTAGCCTTCAATTTTTTTCAAAGCTTACATATTTTACAGGGCTGTCATGTATCTATATTTCTTATTTTGAGTTCTACTTTCACAGATTCATTCATTTATTAAAGATAAGGACAAGCCAGACTCCGGTGGCTCATGCCTGTAATCCTAGCTAGTCAGGAGGCTGTGCAGTTCAACTCCAGCCTGGGCAAGAAAGTCTGTGAGCCTCTTATCTCCAATTAACCACCAGAAAACCTAAAGTGGGGCTTTGGCTCAGGTGGTAGGGCACTAGCCTTGAATATGAAAGCTCAGGGACAGTGCCCAGATCCTGAGTTCAAGCCCCAGGACTGACCAAAAAAATATATAGATAAGGACAAAACAGTCTTGTCCTTAAATAGCTCATAGTGTAGAGAAGGGAAGGGCGGGGGAGAGAAAGAAGGAGGGAGAGAGAGAGAGAGGAGTGACAAAATAACTAGGATCCCATCTTGTATGGAAGTGTACACAGAGTGCTAGAGTAGCACAGGAGGAAAGGCTGTGAAAGGGGAAGGTGTTTGAAGGAGTCTTCGAGGAAGAGTGGAGTGGGTGGATGCAATGGTGAGGGTGCGTGGATGACTGCTTTGCACACAGAGCAACCACAAAGGAGGCTGAGACAGAGAGGGTCATGCACGAGTCTTGTCAGGACCACAGCAACTTGACAGTGGCAGGAGCCACTGGCGTCTGGCTGTTTTTTTCTTCTTATATCACAATATTTTGTGAACATTCAAACAAAAGAAAACTATATAAGGAAGATAATAAGAATTGCCAGTAATACAAGTGCCCCTCTTAAAGATGGCCAATTAGACGTCCTCTCTCTCTCTGTCTCTCTACACACACACACACACACACACACACACACACACACACACAGAGTTGTTCCTTAGTACTTATAGAGTGTTGGTTCTAGCACTCTCCATGGATACCTCAATCTGTGGAAGCTCAAGTCCATATAAAAATGTTGTGACATTTGCATATAATCTAGGTATATCTTCTTATTTATGTATTTACATATTCATTGACTCATTTTGGTGGTACTGGAATTGAACTCAGGGCCTTGCTCTTGCTAGGCAACTTTATCATGTGGGTCATATCCCAAATGACTTTATTTTTCATATAGGTCTTGGGCTACCCACAGACTATGTTCTTTTTACTTATTCCTCCTGAGTTACTGGGATTGTAGTCATGACCCACTACTTCTGGTTTGTTTTATTGAGCTATAGATTGTGTGTGTGTGTGTGTGTGTGTGTTGGGGGGGGTGGTATTTGGTTTTCTTTGCTGTTACTGGGGCTTGACTTCAAGGCTTTATACTCTCACTTGGCTTTTTTACTCACGGATAGATGCTTTACCACTTGAGTTACACCTCCACTTTTGGCTTTTTGTTGGTTATTTGGAGATAAGAGTATCTTAGCCTGGTGCAGGTGGCTGACACCTATAATTCTGGCTACTCAGGAGGCTGAGATGTGAGGATCATAATTTGAAGCCAGCTGGGGCAAGAAAGTCTGTGAGACTCTTATCTCCAATTACCTAGAAAACTGGAAGTGGAGCTGTGGCTCAGAGTAATAGTGTGCTAGCCTTGAGCAAATAAGCTCAGGGATAGCCTGAGTTCAAGCCCCATGACTGACTCCTCCCTCCAAAAGAAAAAGACTCTCAGTATTTTTTTTTTTTTTTTTTTCATGGGGCCTGAACTCTGGGCCTGGGCAATGTCCCTCAGCTCTTCAGCTCAAGGCTAGCGCTCTACCACTTGAGCCACATTGCCACTTCTGGCTTTTTCTGCTTATGTGGTGCTGAGGAATCGAACCCAGGGCCTCATGCATGCAAGGCAAACACTCTACCACTGAGCCATCTTCCCAGCCCCTCTCAGTATTTGTCTACCTGGGCCAGCTTAAAACCATGATCCTCAGATCTTACTTTCTTAATAGCTAAGATTTCAGGTCTGAGCCACCAGAATCCAGCTGAGATGTGGCTAATGTTTTTTTGCCTAAGTTGGCCTCAGATGGCAAGTCTGCTGATCTACCTTTTGAGGCCTTGATTTTAAATTATTTCAAGATTCTTTACCATACCTAACCATGTGAATGCTTTGTACATATTTGTTATACTATATAGTTTACAGAGCAATAACAAAAGTCTGCATGTGTTGATAAGAATGCAGCCATTATTTTATTTTACATTATGTTTTTGCCCAGCTGGGGATTAAACCCAGAGCCACATGGGCAAAAGCTCTACCACTGAGCTACATATACATTCAAATTTTATTGTCTTTATGAGCACAATGAGTGGGTTTTTTTTATTTAAATTTGTTTTCTAATTAGGTACAAAGGGATTTCAATTCCCCTAATCAGATTATGAATACAACGCATCTTGATCAATGTCGCCCTTTTCATCATTCTCCCCATCTCTCCCAAGTCTACCAAAGATAAACATTTTAATAAAATAAAATAGCAATAACTGGACTGCAAAATGAAAAGTGAAAACTGTAGCTTATCATACTAGTGTATTATTATCACCTTCAGTGTATGCAAAGTTATTCTCTCACTTGCCATAGGCCAAATGCTTGTACTAGGCTCCCATTCTCTCTTGGTGGATCTGAGCAGCTGTGGACAGAGCTGGTGTTGCTCAGGGGATGAGAGGGTGGAAGGTGTGATTAGGCCTTGAAGGAGAGAGCTGAGGAAGAATGAAGAAAGAATCTAAAGGTCATGTGAAGATTCAGAGACTTCCACAACAACCTTTGGGTATTTCTTAATTGGCTCTCCATCTGGCCTTACCTGCCTAATACCACATTCACCTTGTGACCAACAACACCCCACCCCATTTATTATCACCCCTCAGCATTTACAAAATAATAAAATGGCTCACCTTGCATGGCTGAGTAAGTTGATACACATATAGGAAATGTCCAGCCAGAATGTCACCAACCTGCATACAGATAGGACCTCACGTATATCCATAGCCACTTCTGTCTTTGTTAAGGGAGGGATTGTTTGAAAAGTCCATTCTCATTTCATCAGTGAAGCCTATCAAATGCCAGAAGATGAGGCTTCTCTTTCAGAAATGAGTTAGAACTCTTTCTGGACCACACAGTGCTTTTTGGAATGTGGTTTGCTTGTGACCTTCTGTTTGGCCCCGCTCCTTACAACCATTTGTGCTCCTGAGACATCATATTATGTTGATGTTGCTGTTCAAAGCAGCATCTGTATAGATGGGAGGGACACAAACTCCAGCCTCCTCCTGCGGCATCTGACTAGGCGGCCGTGGGAGAATTATAGAAGGCAAAGAGGGGCGTGCCATGTAATTACCACTTGGGGCAGAGAATGACTCAAATTGTTGATGGTAAATCTGAAATTTCAATTTTTTTTCCCAGAAAGTTTCTCGCTTGGTAAGTAGTTGTAACAGTTGTCAAATGGATTTATGTCAGTTCTACATGGCTATGAGGAAACTTTGATTCTGTTTCTTTTGGGACATTTTCACTGTTGGGAGAAGTGAGTCTTCACACATGAGGTTTTAAGGATTTACATGTACAGGCCGTTTTTTCTCCTGGATTATTTGCAGCACAACAAAAATCCAGTAGAAGCAATGTTAATAAGTTCAAATAAAACCTTGATGGAATTTATCAGCCATTAGACAGACCACACATGGCAGAAATCCTGAGAAAGGAGGGACGCAAAGTGAGGCCTTGTTGGTCCAGAGTCAGCTTCTAGGTTGTGATTCTAGGCAGGTGGCTATTAGCCAGGCATCTATCTACTCTACAGAGAAATAGAACAAATAGTATGGGTAGGTGGAAAGATAATTGATATCGCTATAAAAGAAGGGATGTGGGGCTGGGAAGGTGGCTCAGTGGTAGAGTGCTTGCCTTGCATACCTGAGGCCCTGGGTTCGATTCCTCAGCACCACATAAGCAAAAAGAAAAAAGCCAGAAGTGGCGCTGTGGCTCAAGTGGTAGAGCGCTAACCTTGAGCTGAAGAGCTGAGGGACAGCGCCCAGGCCCAGAGTTCAGGCCCCACGACTGGACCCAAAAAAACAAAACAAAACAAAAGAAGGGATGTATTATGTAGTCTGGCTCAAGTGATTACCAAGCGTGAGAGACCCAGAGGAAAGCTGCAGCCTGCTCTGTCTTGGGTCCAGGCTTGAGAAATGAGGTCTGAGTATAGAAAATAGAGTGGCGTCAGCCTGGAAATTATTACCATTACTCTCTTAAAACAGTTTAAAGCTGGGTGCCGGTGGCTCATGCCTGTACTCCTAGCTACTCAGGAGGCTGAGATCTGAGGATCGCAGTTCAAGCCAGCCCAGGCAGGAAAGTCCATGAGACTCTTAACTACCAGAAAACTGGAAGTGGCACTGTGGCTCAAGCAGTAGAATGCTTGCCTTGAACTGAAGAGTACAGGGACAGCGCCCAAGCCCAGAGTTCAAGCCCCACGACTGACAAAAAAAAAAAAAATAGTTTAAGTAGGAACAGGCTTATTTATCTAAAAATTTGTGGGATTTCAAAATAATGAAAGTAATGGACGATTAAAAGCAGGCAGATCTATTTTATATTAAACCAGCACACGTACATACCCCATGCATATACCTCTCAAAAGCCTGAACATTTTCCCCATAGTCAGCATTCTAGCATTCTAATTAAATATTATACATCTTCTTCAAAGGCTGGAGAAGTTAGAGTTCTGATGTCCAAAGACAGGAGAAGATGGGAATTTCCACTCCTAGAGAGAGAGGAGAAGAAGGGAAATGGAAAGGAGAATTCACCTTTCCTTCACCTTTTTAGACTATTTGGGTCCTCTGCCAATTAGTCGCTATCTGCCCACTTTGGTTAAGAGCAGTTCCTCCTTACTAAGACCTGTGGTTCAAATGCCAGTGTCTTCCAGAAACACCCTCACAGACAGACCCAGAAATAATGCTTAACCAGCAAGCTACGGGGTATCCATCCTTTAATCTAATTAAGTTGATGCCTAAAATTCACCATGAGGAGTAGTAACTGAAACAGAGGAGTTGGTCTCCTTGAACTATGACCTGTGAGTCTGGGGCAGCCAGGTCATCTGGATTTGCAGGTCTGTGGAAGGCTTAGCAGAACACTAATATCCTTATGAGGATACTCAAGGAGAACGAAGCAGCAGAACAGAGCAGGGAATATCTCTCCCTGGACATTGGGTATAGGACTCAGAAGACAATTGACTGAGTAAGGGAGTAAAATAGCTCCTACTCTAGTTTACTAAACTTAAAAGGAAACATGAAGGATAAAGATATTACTAAACAGCTGAGTGCTGGTGGTTCATACCTGTAAACCTACCTGCTCAGGAGGCTGAGATTTGAGGTCTACAGTTCAAAGCCAGCCTGACAGGAAAGTCTGTGAGACTCTTACCTCCAATTACACACCAAAAAACCTAGAAGTGGAGCTATGGCGCAGGTGGTAGAATGCTAGCTTTGAGCAAAAGAGCTTAGGGACAAAGCCTAGGTCCTGAGTTCAAACCCCAAGACTGACAAAAGAAAATTATATAAAAATATTAACTATAGCCAGGTGCCAGTGGTTCAGGCCTGTAATCCTAGCTACTCAGGAGGTTGAAATCTGAGAATTGCGGTTCAAAACCATCCCAGACAGGAAAGGCCATGAGACTCTTATCTCCGATTAACCACCAGAAAACTGGAAGTGGTGCTGTGGCTCAAGTGGTAGAGTGCTCGCCTTGAGCTGAAGAGCTGAGGGACAGCACTCAGACCCAGAGTTCAACCATGACCAACCAAAACAAAAAAATATTAACTGTAATCTTGCACAAAGCTCAAGAACATTGAAGGAATGATCAACACCAAGTTCATATATGCTGTTGCAGGACATTAAAGAGCAGGCAATAATGTGTGTGTGTGTGTGTGTGTGTGTTGGGGGGGGTCGAACTCAGGGTCTTAGTGCTGTCTCTGAGCATTTTTGTTCAAGGCTAGCACTCTATCACTTGAGCCACAGTGCCACTTCCAGTTTTCTGGTGGTTAATTGGAGATAAGAGTCTCATGGACTGGGGGGGGGGGTAGGGAGAAAGGGATGGGAAGGGGAAACAAAGGAGGAGGCTACAATGCTTGATAAGAAATATACTCATTATCTTGCCCATGTAATTGTAACCCCTCTGTACAGTATTTTCACAATTAAAAAAAAAAAAAGAGTCTCGTGGACTTTCCTGCCTGGGCTGGCTTGAACTGCAAATCCTCAGATCTCAGCCTCCTGAGTAGCTAGGATTACAGGCGTGAGCCACTGGTGCCCAGCATAATGAGGTTTTGATAGGTCACTCAGACCAACACATTAGTCTGGGAGAAAAGGCAACGGGTCAATTACACACACACACACACACACACACGAGGGGTCACCAGGAATCTCAAGACTTGAATAACCCTCTCAGTATTAGATAGGGGTCTGAGTATAGAAAATAGAGTGGAGAGCTGGGAAGGTGGCTCAGTGGTAGAGCACTTGCCTCGCATGCTCGAGGCCTTGGGTTAGATTCCTCAGTACCATATAAGAAAAAAGCCGGGAGTGGCGCTGTGGCTCAAGTGGTAGAGTGCTAGCCTTGAGCTGAAGAGCTGAGAGACAGCACCCAGGCCCAGAGTTCAGGCCCCATGACTGGACCCCCCCCCCAAAAAAAGAAAGAAAATAGAGTGGAGTTGGCCTGGAAATTATTACTGTTCCTCTTTTAAAATAGTTTGAATAGGAGCAGGTCTATTTATCAAAAAAATCATGAGACTTCAAAAGAATGAAAGTAATGGACGATTAAAAGCAAACATTAGACCAGCACCCATACCCCATGCATATACCTCCCAGAAGCCTGAACATTTTTTCTATAGTCAGCACTTTGGCATTTTAATTAAACATTGCATATCTTCTAATTTACTTGCCTTCAGCCAAGGAGAGCTGATATCTTCATCCTTTGAACATGAGAGGATGTGAGAAGTCCTAGGATTTTGCTTCTCAGAATGTCAGCTGGGCCTGTGAGGAGAACACACAGCTGTTCCCAGGCGATAAGGCAGGGGGGAGATGGCGGCCTTGATTTTATTTTACTTTCATTGGTATGTGTGGAGCATCGTGCCAAGATTTTTTTTACTAGATTTCTTTAGTTTAATGATAAGTTTTTAAATTTTTTCTACAATGAATCCTAATTAATGTTTCTACTTTTGGAGGAATGGAGGGAAGCCAAATTTTGCTGCTTTCTCTGTGTCTGATTGATGAGGTTTTGTGTGTTATCCTGCCCAAGGTATGCCTCTTAGCATTACATCTTAGGACACTGATGATGGAGGGGGTGTATGAATGCCAGAAACACAGGCATGCTCCTCCTGATTGGACAGGTGGGCAGCAAAGTGGGTATTCTCCAATCCGGTTTCTTCCAGGGATAATTTAGATTACTTGTGGTATTGTTTTTTTTAGATTCTATGCTGCTTACTTACTCAGCTGGTCCTCTACTGGTTGAGCCATGCCTCCAGTCTTGATTTTTTGCTGGTTATTTTAGAGATGGAGTTGGAAAAACTTTTCTGTCTGGGCTGGCTGTGAATTGAGATGCTCGGGGTTCCAGCCTCCTGAGTAGCCTCTGACACCCAGCCTCTCCTTTCTTATTACAGTCCAAGTCACACTTCCCATGTTGATTCTGTGTTTATGGTTCTTAGTTGGGAAGTGAAAGCTCAGAAGAAAAGTTTTGATTATTTCAGGGAATGGAGGAGCTGGGCCTGCAGAGGGTGAAAGGAGGCGATGGCGCTCAGCTGTTGGGTTATATTGCAACCACTGAGTGTCAGCTCCTACAGTAGGCAGGAACGAAGCACCGATGGGCTGAGGGGGGACAGCCCACCTGTCGGGTATCTGGGGACCTACGGAGCTATGGTCCTGTAAGCTTTCCTCCATGCCAAATTGAGACAGAAGAACTGGGTCACTGATCCAGGATCAGAGAGCCAGAGATGGTGGCCCAGCAAGGTTCTACAAAGAAGTGAGCTTTGGAGGTCCTAGACCAGGTGGTGGTGAGGCCCTGCTGCAGCTGCTGGGCATTGGAAGTAAAATTCATACAGGCAGGGGAGGCCTTATAACATTCCCATTAATGTATGTTTCTTAAACCCCTAATCTTAGTGAGGCGCCCTTCTCAGGAGGAAGAGTAGAACTAGTCTCACCCTCTCACCATCTCGGTGCTGCAGATGAGAAATGCCAGGTAATGGTTTGAGGTGAATCTGCAGCTGTAGCGCGGTGGACATACCGAGAGGTTGTTCCAGAGCCCTGCGTTCTGGCAGGCTTTCCTTGAAGCTCAGTGATAGGGCTGGTGAGGAGAGAGAGCCCACTGGGCAAGTAAAGCCAGGTCCTTACAAGTCTCACCACACCCTGCATTCTGATGGCTCATATCTGTAACCCTAACTGCTTAGGAGGCTGAGATCCAAAGATCATGGTTCAAAGTCAGCCAAGACAGGAAAGTCCATAAGCCTCCTATCTCCAGTTAACTAGCAAAAAGCCAGAAGTGAATCTGTTGCTCAAGTGGTAGAGTATCAGTCTTGAGTGCAAATTAACTGAAGGACAATGTCAGGGCCCTGAGTTCAAACTCTAGTACTGGCACCAAAACAACAACAACCGACAAAAGATCTCACCACACAGGTACAAGTCAGAGGCCAGGTCAACATGGCCTCCTTTCAGGAGCGTGTGCACTTGTTGAATGTCTGAGTGAGCGCATGACCCCAGCTTCCTTTCCTCAGAGCCACGGCTTCCTTCTCTGTCCAGGTATGTACCCGTTATCTGCAGCCTCCCAGGAGACAGAGAGCAGTCGGAAGCTGACTCACCTTCTGAATGCGGTGACTGATGCCCTGGTCTGGGTCATCGCCAAGAGCGGCATCTCCTCCCAGCAGCAGTCCGTCCGCCTGGCCAACCTGCTGATGCTCCTCTCCCATGTCAGGCACATCAGGTAGGTGAGGCATAGCTCTACAGAGCTGTGCCATCTGCGTGGGCCAGTGCATGCGCTCTGAGCCTTGGGAATAGCGTTATGCAGGCTTGTCATCTTTAAAAGAAAAGGAACCCCTGGAAGGAAATGGCATGTCCTCAACACACACACACACACACACACACACACACACACACACACACACACACATGCACGCACGCACGCAGGCACGCACACACACACACACACAGAGGTAACCAAAGCTCAGCGCATAGCGGGTAGTGAATGAATGTCACGTGGCACCTTGTAGTTTTACATGTCATCCTGGGAGGTGGGGGACTTATTTGCTTTTTGGTTACTAAGGCTTCATGCTGGTTTATGGAGTCCTAAAAGGGACAGTTTCTCCCCCTAAAATGGACTACTACCCTCTTCATACCAAGTAGGGCTGAGGCCTTAAATCATTTTTTGTAAAGAGTTTAAGTCTGATTCTCTACACCACCCTCCCCCTCCCATCTTTCCCCTCCTCTTTTGTGTCAGTCCTGGGTTTTGAACTCAGGGACTGGGTGCTGTCCCTTAGCTTTATCACTCAAGGCTAGCACTCTACCACTTGAGCCATGGCTCCACTTTTGTTGTTGTTGTTGGTTAATTGTTGCTAAGAGTCTGATAAACTCCCCTGTCTGGCTGGCTTCAACTCATGATCTTTAGATCTCAGCCTCCTGAGTAGCTAAGATGAAAGGCATTTGAACCACTAGCACACTATTGTCTTTCTCTTTGATGACATCAGGATACTGAGGATGGGAAACAAGAGAACTTCCCAAAAGATTTGGAAAGCAGGATTGTGGGTGGCATGCATGGCAGGGTAGGACATGGTACGGTGTGAGCTGATGGTGGGGGTGTGTGGTGATGGCTCCTGGTTCAGTGATGCCACCAGGAAGGTAGCTCTGCCCTGAGGCTGGAAGAGGAAAGATGAGGATGGAAGGTATACTTACCCAAGGAGGAAGGACTGGGCTAAGAGCTATGGGATTCTCAAGAGTTCAATATGGGCTGGGCACTGGTGGCTCAATCCTGTAATCCTAGCTACTCAGGAGGCTGAGATCTGAGGATCGCAGTTCAAAGCCAGCCCAGGTTAGAAAGTTAGTGAGACTCTTATCTTTAATTAACCACCAGAAATTGGAAGTAGCACTTTGGCTCAAAGTGGTAGAGCACTAGCCTTGAGTGAAAAGCTCAAGGACAGCACCACCCAGGTTCTGAGTTCAAGCCTCACGACTAACCAAAAAAAAAAAAAAAAAAGAGCTCAACAACACAGAGAAAAAGTTAAAAAAGACCTCTGTCCCTTTTTCTCATTCATGATCACTCAGCTCATAGCTCTGTGCAGGACAGATACGGTTGAGTCATAGTATTTGTACATTTCATCTTTTGCTAGTACTGGGCTTGAACTCAGAGCCTGGGCACTGTCCCTGAGCTGCTTTTGTTGAAAGCTACCACTCTACCATTTGAGCCATAGTGCTACTTCTGGTCTTTTCTGTTTATGTGGTATTTAGGAATCAAACCCAGGGCTTCATGAATGCTGGGCAAGCACTCTAACGCTAAGCCACATTCCCAGACCTGCAATTCACATGTTTGAATTTACCTACTTGCTAAAATCTATTAGTAACCTGAGGTTAGTACCATTGGTGCTTTCGAGGCCATGCCAAAGGGCCTTTTTTTTTTTTTTTGTCGGTCGTGGGGCCTGAACTCTGGGTCTGGGCGCTGTCCCTCAGCTCTTCAGCTCAAGGCGAGCGCTCTACCACTTGAGCCACAGTGCCACTTATGGCTTTTTTTGCTTATGTGGTGCTGAGGAATTGAACCCAGGACCTCGTGCATTCAAGGCAAGCACTCTACCACTGAGCCACCTTCCCAGTCCCAGTGGCAAATTTTTTGAGTGGCTCAATATGCATGATTCCAGCTGAGGTGGAACAAATTGGTGTTCTAAACCTTCCCGCTCAGCTCTCACCTTGATTGAAGCACTAGCTTTACTCAAGCTGTTGAGAGCCATGGTCTTCTATTTTTGTGCTGTGTGTAGGTGGTTTCATTGTGTGACACAGCTTCCTAGCACAGTGCTGAGCACTTCGCACTGTTTCTAGGCACAAGAAAGTTGTGAGGTGCTTTTCGGGAGAAATGTGTATCTTAGATGAATTTTGTTCAGGTATGAGTTATAGCACTGTGAGTTCAATGAATGCATTGACAACCTATAAATAAGTTGTCTTTTGTAAGTATGTGTATGTGAGAGAGAGAGAGTGAGTGAGCGTGTGTGTGTGTGTCTTTGTGTTTATGTGTATTCTTGTTCTGGGCCTTGAGCTCAGCGCCTGGAACTGTATGTAAACTTTATTGCTCAAAGTCGGTGCTCCACTGCTTGAGCCACAACTCCACTTGTGGCTTTTTGGTGGATTCATTTATGATAAAGAGTCTTGTGGCCTTTCCTGCCTAGGCTGGCTTTGAACCAAGATCCTTCTATCCCTATCTCAGCCTCCTGAGTTAGGACTACAAGCTACTGACACTCAGCTAAGGTGTCTATACAAACACACACACACAAGAATCTTATGCATTGATCAGCTGAGGAAAAGCTGACTAGACTAGACACTTGAGGAACCTGTGTATTTCCTCTAGGAACCACGATAAAGTGTTTGTTAATTCATTGTTTGCAGTGGTTTTTATAGACTGAAGATTGGGCTATGTGCTAGGTGCTGTGCATTGTGTGTGTGGGGGGGGTGGGACAGAGGGGTCAACAGGCTAGCAGCTTTGCCTCTGAACATAGACTAGTGAGGGAGCTGGCTGGCTGAAGTGGGGAGGTACAAGGCTGTGGGGGGGGGAGGCCTGGCTCTGGAGAGGCTGGGGAAGATCTTAGTGTTCTGGGGACCCGCAGAGAAGGAATTCTCAGTACTTTTTGTCCCCATAGTAACAAGGGCATGGAACATCTGCTCAGCATGAAGTGCAAAAACGTGGTCCCAGTGTATGACTTGCTGCTGGAGATGCTGAATGCCCACACGCTTCGCGGGTACAAGTCCTCTGCCTCAGGCTCCGAAGGCAGCTCAGCAGAGGACGGTAAGAGCAAAGAGAGCTCCCAGAACCCACAGACTCCATGATGCCCAGCCCTGAGGTGAATGAGCCCACAGAGGAGGCCAAGGTGGACATGCACACGCCAGCAGGTCACAAGCCTGGCCTCCATCACCTCTCTGTTGTCCCTCCTTTGGTTATGGCGACCTCAGTCATGCACCATCCTGCCCCACCTCCATACATCCTAGGAGTCAAAGGTGGATGAGCCACAGTTTCCCTTGTACCAGGGGCACATTTGAATGCAGAGTTCCACTTGGGTCACCTTAGGATTTGATGCAGTCCCTTTCTTACTTTCTAGCTCCCTTCCACCTCATTGAAGGTTTAGGATTGAATGGTGGAAATCTGACAACTAGACAGGGTGGAGACATGACACATTTGTCAGAAGCCGACTAAACTTTCGATGTATGTTCTCTTCTGGACCATTTGATTGTAGGACAGAACCCCCCCCCCCCCCCCGTGACAATCACTCATAGTTGCCCAGTTCTGTGAGGATGGATGTCATGATACTGTGTTGTTCTGTTAAAGACCAGAGGGCCAGGGGCCAGGCTGGGATAAGAGCCAAGAGCTTCCTGCCAGATCTTGATTCCTAGATCTTGCTAATTATTTGGTGTGTGTCTATGTGGGATCATTTTCATGGAGGGTTGTGGGAGATTTAAGTGGCTTCTGCAATTGGGTTTCTTTGAAATTCCATTGTCTCAGGGGTCCAGGGTGTGCTGCAGGAAGGCTCTGTTTGCAGGAGTGGGGTTTTCTCCTGTGGGCATGGGTTAGGGTCTGTGCTCCCCTGGGGCATTGTGAATGCAGATTTTTGTCTTGCACAGTAGATGTAGCAGCCCCCAGCTGCATCTGCCACCCAGAGAGACAGGGACAGTCCGCACTGTGGATATGTATGGTGTGCTAGCCTGTGGAAGAAACTACACACAGTCCAGCATGTCAGCTTCAGGTCCATGATGCCAACTGCTGGGCAGACACTTGAACAAGAAGACATGGTTTATGAATGCCTTTAAAGAGGAATACTTGATACCTAGGCATAATTATTTCTAGCAAAACAAATACCCTATGGCTCTCTTCAAGTATTTTCTTGTCTGAACATTTATATGGTGAGCTGGGTGACATTGAAACTTAATAAACTATTCTTTTTCCAAGTGGAACATAGATAGAAATGAAAATAAAGTACTTCAAAAATAAAAATTTAAGAGTTTTAATTCCCATTTCTTGCTTGAGGAGAGGGAAATATTTCTTTTCTTCATTTTTCCCTACTTTAACTTGCTATACTAAAGAAAATTCTTATGTTCTCTTTCTTCTTTTTTTTTCCTTCCTTCCTTCCTTCCTTCATTTTCTTTTGAGGTAAGGTCTCACTATATAATCCAGGTTGGCCTTGAACTCTTGATGCTGCTGCTCAGACTCCTAAGTGCTGGGATTATAGATGTGTGTCACCTTGCCTGGCTCATTATATCCATTATTATTATTATTTTAACCAATTGTCCTGACAGCTTCTTGGGGCTTTTTGTTTCACTGTGTTTGGATTTAGCCTGACTTTGGGTCATTGTTTCTTGGCTCAAGTTTCAACTGTGTGCACTAAGGACACATGTGATTCTAACCTGAGGGCATGTAGGTGCAGACTGTGTTTTTATGCTTATATCTAGGGTAAGCAGGTGGTTGAAGTATGACCTATACTCTAAAAGTATTTGGAGCTGGGTGCTGGTGGCTCATGCCTGTAATCTTAGCTACTTAGGAGGCTGAGATATGAGGATCGTGGTACAAAGCCACCCTGGTCAGGAAAAGTCCATGAGACTCTTGTCTCCAATTAACACCAGAAAACCAGAAATGGTGCCTTCTGAGTAGCTAGAATTACAGCTGTGAGTGACCAGTGTCTGGCTATTTGTTTTCATCTTAGAGCTTTCCGTTCTTTCAGATGAGATGCCTGCTCATCATCTCCAAACATGTATGGCTAACACTTTGTTTTTTTTAAATTATGGCATCAGGCTGCCTATTTTATGTGTTGGAAAAAAATCCCTTCTTAAAGGCCACTTATTTCTCTTTAACCATAGTGGTTTTCTGTATATGCTTTCTTTTTGGGGCTATCCATCCTGCAGGCCGTTCATGATCCATTAGGACAAGCTGGGAGCACTCCCGCTGCCAATGGTGCATCTCAGTGGTCAGGAGTGAGCGAGGATTAGTGGGACCTGATAATTGGAAACAGGAACTGGATTACTGAATAAAAACAGAAAACAAAGCCGGGCGCTGGTGGCTCAGGCCTGTAATCCTAGCTACTCTGGAGGCTGAAATCTGAGGATCATGGTTCAAAGCCAGCCTGGGCAAGAGAGACCGTGAGACTCCTATCTCCAATAAACCACCAGAAAAACCGGAAGTGGCACTGTAGCTTAAGTGGTAGAGCACTCGCCTTGAGCTGAAGAGCTGAGGGACAGCACCCAGGCCCAGAGTTCAAGCCCCACGACCGAACAAAAAAAAAACAAACAAAACAGAAAACAAGGGCATTTGTTGTGTTATGAAACAGTGACCCCAAATTCTGGCTTAGACTGGCCTGGCCAGATTCCTTCCATTTTAATTGGAAAGTGGTTATTAAATGAAGATAAATTTATATGTTTGATGAGTAAGATTTGGGTTCATCTCCAAATCATGTGACTAAGGTGGGACTATAGAGACAAAAGTTTTGTTGGTCATGGGGCTTGAACTCTGGGCCTGAGCACTGTCCCTCAGCTTTTCAGCTCAAGGCTAGCATGCTACCACTTGTGCATAGTACCACTTCCAGTTTTCTGGTGGTTTATGGGAGATAAGAGTTTCATGGCCTAGCCGGGTGCCGGTGGCTCACGTCTGTAATCCTAGATACTCAGGAGGCTGAGATCTGAGGATCATGCTTCAAAGCCAGCCGAGGCAGGAAAAGTCTGTGAGGTTCTTATCTCCAATAAACCACTAGAAAACTGGAAGTAGCGCTATGGCCCAAGTGGTAGAGCTCTAGCCTTGAGCTGAAGAGCTGAGGGACAGTGCCCAGGCTCTGAGTTCAAGTCCCGTGACCAACTGCCCCCCGCCCCAAAAAAAGAGTTTCATGGCCTTTCCTGCCTGGGCTGGCTTTGAACTGTGGTCCTCAGATCTCAGCCTCCTGAGTTACTAGGATTACAGGTGTAAGCCACTGGCGCCCGGCTCCAGAGACAAATTTTAATAAAATAGTTGCCATGAAATACCCTCAAAACAGAGTTCATCTGTATTCCTAGGTGTGACCTTACCGTCTCCAATGAGAACAATGCAGGAGAGCCACCCTGAGATTTTTCCATGAGTTTTGTTCTATTCTAGCCTCCCTCTGTTCTCACGGTCTGCATGTCCTTAGGCCTGTCCCATAATAGGGCTGACCACAAAGAAGTTAACCTGATTTTTTTTTGAAAAATGGAGGCAGGAACCTAGGACATTGCTGTTATCCAAATAATAAAATCCAGGGGAGTTGTAACCATGTAGAAAACAAGGCCCAGCCGCCAGAGCTTTGCAGGGAGGCAGCGTTCATAAGGCAGCTGGTAGGCCTATTATTTTGGAATTCAGGAAAAAAAAGAAGAGTAACCAATTATTGGTAGAGTCAATCAATGAATGCTAAATGGAATTCTCAAATTTTCTAGCATGGGAAAATAGGGTTTGGTTCATATTTACGTCTGTTAAGGGGCTTGCATATGCCAATGGAAACATCAAATTGCAGATAAACCCTTTCTAGCTCTAATGAGAAACAAAGTACTTTTGTTTAATACAGATTTCTATACATTTCTTTAAGCTGCTAAAAATCTTCAGGGAAAAAAAAACAACAGAAGTTAAATAAAATAATAAAAGCATGCCAATTAGTACTTAAAGATAATATTGATGGGGGCTGGGAGGGTGGCTCAGTGGTAGAGTGCTTGCCTCAATATGCATGGGGCCCTGGGTTCAATTCCTCAGCACCACATAAGCAGAAAAAGTCTGAAGTGGAGCTGTGGCTCAAGTGGTAGAGTGCTAGCTTTGAGCTGAAGAGCTGAGGGACAGTGTCCAGGCCCAGAGTTTAGGCCCCACAACTGACCAAAAAAAAAAAAAAAGATAATATTGGTGGAACACTGCCAGTTAGTGCCTCACACACACATTTAATCCTTGTAATATGACTGTTATCGGAACTTGCTGGCTGTGGAAGCTGGGAAGAGTCTAAACAAACTTGCTCAAGGTCATATAGGACAACTGATAAAGCTGAGCAACGGCCAGTCCAACTTGTGTTGAAAATGATTGGGTGACTGAACTAGTTGAAAAAAAAAAAAACCACTAGGGCCAAGGAGCAGCTTCAGTGTAGAGTTCTGGCCTTGTATGTATGAGGCCCTTGGCGTGGCTCTCTAGTGTTCTGCCTCTGAGCTACAGCCCCAGTCCAAGCAAAATATTTTTAAACTGCAGAATCCATTTATCAAATACAACCTGACATGCATAGCTCCTGCGGCTTAAGTGAGACCCCCCTCAACTCCTAAACCCGGAGCTCCCTCCTAGACACAACAGCTTGCAAACCTCTCACCCAGAAGTTCAGTTCTATCTTTCGTACACAGGCAAATGGAAACCCAGTAGGGCAAACTGACCTGCTCCAGGTCATAACAGTATTATTTATGGCCAAGGCTGGAATGCAGTTCAGGTCTTCTGCTTGTCTGGCTAGCACTGCCCCCACTGCCGGACCCTGCTTCATGAGCTGAATCTCAGTATGACAGGGCTAGTTGTAGCAGTCTTGACTGCCTTCCTCTGGACCTGTAGATCCTGCCTTCTTAGCTTAGATGGGTTTGCACAAACCTTGACGGGACAGCAGAAAAATAAGGTGGAATATGTTATTCCTGTGTCCCTATCCTGGGCTCATTAACTAGTGAGTACTGCCATTTTATTAGTGTTTTCGCTATTAGTGTTTTCGCCATACCTTGCAAATGTATGCATGTTAAATCCCATGTCTCCCAGGCATTGCTGCTTTCCTGTGGAGTTTGGTACTGCATAGTATGAAGACAGGCTATTTATTATTTATAGCTCCCCAACTCTGCTGGAATTTTGGCTTTAGTGGAAGTTTTAAGCTACACATTGTCCCTGTGGTACATCATCTTTCTAGCATCTTTTCTCTTTGTTGTTTTAGAGTTGTTTTTTGTTTGTTATTCTAAGGATCCTATTCACTTGTAAAGCCATTATTGGATAGTGGCTTGCTTTCATGGGTATGGCAGGTTTGCGAGCTCAGAGAGGCTGCTGGTTGGCCGTGCCATCAGTGCGGCTGCATTTACTTCTCTGTTTTGGGTCTCTAAGTGCCACGGGAATTGGTCCTATAACTTTATTATGCAATGGACTTGTATATGTTCAAACCTGTTGATTGGAGATCATGTATTTTTTTCAGATGGATGCTTTGTCGCATTAGACTAATATGCTGGTTATCATTCATGGGCTTTAAAATGCAGGCCTTTTGAAGAAATCAGTGTTTGATATTGTGTGAAAGAAAACTTCAACACTTGCTTTTTATTCCTCTAGGTGGTACTTTTTCCTTACTGTGTCCCTACTATCTATGGAACTACTGAGAGATATTTAATGTGACATAAATAAAGGTGTTTTTCATAAACTTGGCTTAAAATGTATTTCTTGGGAGCTGAATGTACAGTTATTGTTACAAAATGTCTATATTCTGTTGTGAATTCTATTGTTTTGGATTTATAGAACTTGGAAATCATTTTAAACACAAACATGGACAGCTCAGTGGCTCATGTCTGTAACTCTAGCTACTCAAGAGGTTGATATCTGAGGATCACAGTTTAAAGCTAGCCTGGACAGGAAAGTCTGTGAGACTCATCTGTAATTAACCACCGAAATCCCCTAAGCAGAGCTGTGGGTCAAGTGGTAGAGCACTAGCCTTGAGCATAAAAGCTCAGGGACAGCTCTGAATTCAAGCCCCAGAACTGGGGTGCATGTGCGTGTGCACACACATGCAAACACACACAAAACCAACATGGACAATCTTTGTTGGATTAATGCACATAAGCACAAATGCTTATATAGCATTTTATGTTAACCTTCCAGTCACTGACAGCTTCTGAAATAGGAACAACTCAATCTTCATTCATCTAACCTCTTGTGGTAACTTATGACTGCAGGCACTGTATGAATAGGTGGAATGTAAAAGTCACAAAATGCATAGAGCCTCTCAGTTGTTTGCATAGATCTTCAGTAATTACTCCTTCTGAGTCAATTAGTATTAACCCTTCAGAGATGGGAAGAAGAGCAACTCATTAATACTGAACTTCATTTTCATGCTAATAGTCATTTGAAACTTCGCTGGTCCGGGCGCTGGTGGTTCACGCCTGTAATCCTAGCTGCTCAGGAGGCTGAAATCTTGAGGTTCAAAGCCAGCCCAGGCAGAATGTCCATGAGACTTTTTTTTTTTTCTGGTCATGGGGCTTGAACTCTGGGCCTGGGCACTGTCCCTAAACTCTTCAGCTCCAGGTTAGTGCTCTACCACTTGAGCCACAGTGCCATTTCCAGTTTTCTGATGGTTTATTGGAGGTAAGAGTCTCATGGATGTTTCCTGCCTGGGCTGGCTTTGAACTGTGATCCTCAGATCTCAGCCTCCTGAGTAGCTAGGATTATAGATCTGAGCCACCGGTGCTTGGCCACGAGACTCTTATCTTCAACCACCAGAAAACTGCAAGTGGCGCTGAGGTACAAGTGATAGAGTGATAGAGTGCTAGCCTTGAACTAAAGAGCTCAGGGACAGTGCCCAGGCCCAGAGTTCAAACAGACAAACAAAACAAAGCTTCCCTGGCAACTGCAGAAGATGCAAACATATGTGACAACATAAAACACAGGTTACTCTTTTTTTTTTTTTGCCCGTCGTGGGGCCTGACCTCTGTGCCTGGACACTGTCCCTCAGCTCTTCAGCTCAAGACTAGTGCTCTACCACTTGAGCCACAGTGCCACTTCCAGCTTTTTCTGCTTATGTGGTGCTAAGGAATCGAACCCAGGGCCTCATGCATGCAAGGCAAGCACTCTACCACTGAGCCATCTTCCCAGCCCCCACAGGTTTCTCATATAGGTGTTTGTTCCTACAGTAGATCTATGTATGGTCTTCAGAATTACATGGTCACAAGGAGACAGCAGTGGAGGCAAAAATGGTCAGGATGCATAGTTCAGTGCTGCACTGCAGATGCTGGATTCACTTTCCCAATGACTCCCAGTTTTTTGCTAAACATACGCCTACCACCTTTCCACAAATCTCCAGTTTTAACTTGATTTGGGGTACCAACTGCTTTTGTAGCCGAGGTAGACTGTCACCCCAGTAAGGGCAGGGAAACACTCAGAAGATTGCATAATGATTTGAGCCCAACGCAAACATGCTGGGACTGATAGCTTCTCTGAATCAACTGAGCTATAGAATATGTGTTAACTGGAGGCAAGGGTCTTAAGGGCTTTTGTACTTGGGCTGACTTTGAACTGTGATCCTCAGATCTCAGCCTCTTGAGTAGCTAGGATTACAGGTGTGAGCCACCAGGTCCCAGAAATAGACTATTTTAATGAGCTAAAACACTTTGATCAAAGATACTGTCAGGCCGGGCACTGGTAGCTCACACCTGTAATCCTAGCTACTCAGGAGGCTGAGATCTGAGGATCATGGTTCAAAGCCAGCCCAGGCAGGAAAAGCAGTGAAACTCTTATCTCCAATTAACCACCAGAAAGCTGGAAGTAGTGCTGTGGCTCAAGTGGTAGAGTGCTAGCCTTGAGCTGAAGAGCTCAGGGACAGCGCCAAGGCCAAGTTCAAGACCAAGGACTCACACACACACACAAAAGGTACTGTCAATAAATCCATTTTGCTTTGTATGTCAATTCAACTATCAAATCTCTCTCTTTTTTTTTTTTTGCCAGTTGTGGGGCCTGAACTCTGGGCCTGGGCACTGTCCCTCAATTCTTCAGTTCACGGCTAGCACTCTACCACTTGAGCTACAGCGCCACTTCTCTGGTACTGAGGAATTGAACCCAGGGCCTCATGCATGCAAGGCAAGCACTCTACCACTGAGCCACCTTCCCAGCCCTCAAATCTCTAAACACTGAATGAAAGACAGATTCTTCCAGATGGCCTTCTTTGCAAGTTAGTGGTTAACTTCCTAGGCCTTGTGGATGCCTGACTTAGGAGAGCCCTGACATTGAACTATCCTTGTGGGCTTCACTGGCTCCCTGAGGTGTGTGCCTTGTTGAGAAGGGATGAGGAGACTGAGGCTGTGGTACAGGAGTGGAGCTGGTGACTTCCATCAAGGAAGCAGAGAGGCTAAGATCTGTTTAGGTGGAAAGTAGACCTAGTGGTACAATCACATGGCGGGCAGGTGGGTTTGCCTGTAACATCTACCACAGATGGAGCATCTCTCATTCAAAAATCCTAAATGCAGCTGGGTGCTGGGGACTCATGCCTGTGATTTTAGATACTCAGAAGCCTGAGATGTGAGGATCTCGGCTTGAAGCCAGCCCAGGCAGAAAAGTCCCTTGAGATTCTTTAGTTAACCACTCAAAAACTGGAAGTGGAGTGATGGCTCAAAGTCGTAGAGGGCTAATCTTGAGCAAAGAGCTCAGGAACAGCACCCAGGCCCGGAGTGCAAGCCCAAGACTGACAAACAAATCCTAAATGCTCCAAAATACAAAACTTTTAGAATGCCAAGCTGATACCCAAACTGGGAATTTTATACTGTGAAATTTGTTACATGTATACAATTACTAAAAATGTGTTAGCCCGGCGTTGGTGGCTCATGCCTGTAATCCTAGCTACTCAGGAGGCTGCGATCTGAGGATTGTGGTTCAAAGCTAGCCCGGGCAGGAAAGTACGTGAGACTCTTATCTCCTCGAATTAACCACCAGAAAACTGGAAGTGGCACTGAAGCTCAAGTGGTAGAGCACTTGCCTTGAGTGGAAGAGCTGAGGACTAGCACCCAGGCCCAGAGTTCAAGCCCACGACTGGGGGAAACAAAAAGCTATATTAAAGTACTTCCAGCCTATGTGGGACTGAGGTAGATATGAAAGAAACATAAATGAATTCCTTATTTCCAAGTTATTTCAGTATATGTATATAAATATTCCCAAAGTCACACAGCTCCAACCTAAAGCTTTCCTACCCCTGAACACTTTGAAGAAAGGGCTACTTAACCTGTAATTCACTCCCCAACGTAGTGAAAAAGAAAAGCTGGGTGAAAAGGTCCTTGCTATATCCTCCTTCCTTGTAGTGCTGCCTAAGCCTTTCCCTACAGAACCTGAGGTCACAGAGGGTTATTTACACAGAAGGGTCCTCTCTCCAGACAGGGATGCTTCTAAGGCCTCATAAATAATCCTGCACAAATTTAGCTAAGTAGAATGTAAAACTTGGAATAAAACTTTCCCATAAAGTATTTTAAAAATAATTTCTGTCCTAGGAGAAAATAATTATGGCGCTGACCTGCTTGATAAACATAATCCAACACAACAGTCTGGCTAATTTTATTTTTTTTTTAATGAGAAACATCTGAGTTGTACATACCACAAACAGCTTCAAGTTTCTGTACCACCATCCCCCCCCCTCGCGACGAAGTAGCTCAAACAAACCAGAAGTGTCTCTTTAAATGTGAAAAGTCTTATAAAATTAATTTACAAAAACATCCTTATCAAGTCTGTAGTTTGGCATTTACTGTACATTAGTCAAAAGTTCAGGCTAAAATCTGATTTTTATTAAAAAAAATCCAAGTTTACATTATTCATACAGATTCAGCAATTTAAAAAATATGCACAAATAACCAAATCCATGCAATAAAATTTCTTAAAAAATTTAAAGCAATATAAAAGAGCCAACCTAGGTCCTGAACAGAACATTTTGGATTATGACCAGTAGCTCTGATTGCTGACTAATGATTCCCCTCAAATTGCTGAGGAAAACCGAGTCGGAACATTTAAAAATGCTTGTTTCAATCCATCAGCTCAGGATCCATGAGTCTCTGAACCATTTCTAGGCTGAATCTGCTTGCTGGTTGATCTAATGCATTTTATGGGCTGAACACCACTGTTGAGGGGCAAGGTAATTATTCTGTTTTACAAATAAGTCAGAATTCACAAAGTGCATGGCTCCTTGGAGACTGTCCTTCCCAGAGTTCCCCTAGGCCATCGAGAAGCTCTGCCAAGATGCTGGCCTGGTTCCCTGTCCCCTGCCAGATGAACTTCTTTTGAAAGTTGCTCTGGGCCCCAGCAGCCTATCTTGGCAACATCTGGGGGGATGTGTCCATAGCAGGTCCCTGGACCTTGCCAGTGTTAAAGAGTCATGGGCTGGTGGTGGTGGCATTGTGGCTGTGAAGCCTCCTAGGTCGGGGGTGGCCCGTTGGTGTACCGCAGCATGGGATAGAAGGAGCGGGCAAAGTTGTTGGCCTGGGTGCAGCTGTAGTCCTCTTCGGAGGAGGGCAGCAGGCAGGCCAGAAGCAGCAGCAGCAGCAGCAAGAGCTGCAAGGGCAATGCTGCCCTGACCACCCGTGAGAGAAAGGAGCGCTGGGGCTGAGCGCTGCCGGAGCCAGTGGAGCCCCTCACCCTGTCAACAGAGGGTCAGGAGCTGATCAGGAGCATCCAGAGGCCACGCCCACCCATCCCACCTGCCCCCCTCCCCAATCATGTGAGTGCCAGTAGGGCCAACAGCTGGGGAGAGTTTGGGAAGAGAAGTCCAGGGTTTTCCAGATGAATGAAAAAGGAAGATTTTTACAAGGACCTGGACTCATGCTGTGACAGAAATGCCATTACCTGCCATGGGTCTCCTTCTCTTCTGTTCTCACTGCCCTGAGCTGCTGGAACAAAGAAGCCAATATGAGCAAGCTGCAGACAGGTCCATCCGATCAGTGATAAGACTGGGCCTTCCTACATCATATACCTCCCCTGGGACGTCTTTCTGCCACACTACTGGGACTAGAGTAATATATCTGAGATTCATCCCAAACCTCTAAAAGATAATTGGGTTTGTTAAATTGTCAAGCGTTCCAGGTTGCACTTTGTTGGCCTCCTATAATGGAGACAGCAGGAAGCCTTTGACAAGGACCTCATCATTATCAGTCTACTATGCAAGAGTAACTGAGACCCTTTGAAAAAGCTCTTAAAAAGTGTGTTAAAAAAGTGAATCAAAGTGCATTCAACCAGTAGGTTAAAGCAGATCTGTACTGTCATGAAAGGTGTAACAGCAGCTTTCAAGTTCCAACTTTCTATTGGTGACAGAAAAAAAAAAAAAAAAGTATGGCTGAGTGCCAGTGGCTCACTCCTGTAATTCTAGCTATGAGGAAGATCAACAGTTTGGGGCCAACTTGGACAAAAAGTTCAAGAGATCACCCCCATCTCAACAGAAAAAGTTATGGTAGTTTGTGTCTGGTGGTCCTAGGCAAAAATCAAGGCCCTATCTCCAAAATCACCGAACAAAAAGGATTGGAGGCATGGTTCAAGAGGTAGATAGAATGCCTGCTCAGCAAGCAGGAAGCCCTGTGTTCAGGCTCTGGTACAGCTGAAAACAAAAACCAAATACGCAGCATGGTTCTCACAGAAAGCGTTTTTACCTTCGCTTGGGTAGCTGGCAAAGCTGCTGGAGACTGGTCCCCTGAGTCTACTTCATCAAAGTCGGGCAGAGACAGGTCTGGATTCTGAAAGCCACAACCCAATGGTTCAGTTCAAGGAAAGAATGTTCTGGACAGTCTCAAGAGCATAAACCTCTGCATGAAGCAGTCTTCAAGCAGCAGCCCACCCATTCCCATAGCAGAAATCTTTCAGGATTGGGGCTCTTCTAATTGCTCTTCTCTCCTTCCTGCAGTGGCTTGAATAGTTTCCAGAAAAAAAAAGAGAATATATCCAAAGCAAAGCCAACCATTTGCATTAAACATCTGTAACAGCAGTTGACAGTGAGCGCCCCACAAGTAACTGACAGAAGTACACAGCAATCAAGACGAGTTAGCCTTGATTATCCAGGAGAAAACAGACTAGAACGGAGGGCCCTGCTCTAAGTCTCACAATCTGGGTATTTTATTTGTTTTAAGTTGTATCACATTAAAAAAAAGTATAGACAAAAAGTACTAGGACAGAACTTGAAGCCCTGTCATTTGAGAAAGTAAAGGCTTGTGGTTGTGACATGAAGATAACGATGGCATGATGGAGGAAGCCACTTTTCCTAACTCCAGACATGCTAAGCAGGGGCTTAACTCTCCATGCAGCCCATCCACCCCTTGCTCAGCCACAGCTGGGCTGCAATCCTGCCTTCCTGTTGGCATATAAAAGCCCTGAGAGTCTCACCTGGCTTCCTTGCAAGGACATTAAATCTTGAGCGACTTGCTCACGTAACTGCTTGAGTTTCTTCTCAATCACGTGAACCTTCTCTTCTACCTCGATATAGTCTTCTCCTTGCCTCTTGATGAGCAGGCTGGAGGCAATCTCCTGCAAGGAGTTCACTTGAGGCTGACGCTCCACCAGCTCCTTTTCCAGTTGCTGAAAATTATAAGGTGTATGAAAGTTGTCCAACTAGATGCTAGGGTAGCATGGGGGAGGGGGGGAACTGCTCAATTCCAGAACCTTCTCAGAGTTGCCTATCTGAGTTCTCAGCCTAGCACAGTTTAGGGTGCAAGCAAGTAGGCTGTTTTTTTTTTTTTTGTTGTTGTTGTTGGCCATGGGACTTGAACTCTGGGCCTGGGCGCTGTACTTCAGCTCTTTAGTTCAAGGAGAGCACTCTACCACTTGAACCACAGCGCCACTTCTGGTTTTCTGGTGGTTAATTGGAGATAAAGAGTTTCACAGATTTTCCTGCTCGGGCTGCCTTTGAACTGTGGTCTTCAGATCTCAGCCTCCTGAGTAGCTAGGATTATAGGCATGAGCCACCAGCGTCCGGCCATATTGGGGTTTAATTCCTTTTCACTTTGAAGAGAATAATGATACTAGAGAATATAGAGGAAAGAAGGTGGTGTGGGAGAATGAGGCCCTCATCCACTAGGATGGAGGTGAGGGAAACTCTAAAGCTGGAAAATTGAGAAAGAGCAGTGAGGTGCACAGAATCTTGCTCTCTTGCTGTCCACTAAGGGAGCTAGGAGACACATGGCTGATTCAGTCCTGAGAGCCTGAAGCTAGTGGTTACCCGACTAGATATGCAGATAGAACAGTCCCACTATTGTACAAAGTTCCACTGGATAGTTACAGATCTACAGAATGGGGTTTTAAAGCAATGGCCAGAAACCTTAAAGTTAAAATATTGAAAATGGAACCGCAGCTGAGTACCATTTCTATAACCCTAGCTACTCAGAAGGCTGAGATCTGAGATTTCAGTTCAAAGTCTGTCCCGGCAGACAAATCCATGAGACTCTTATCTACAATTAACTAGCAATAAAGCCCAAAGTAGAGTTGTGGCTCAAATAGTAAAGTGCCAGCTGTGAGGGGGGAAAAAAAAAGCAAGGTGCCAGTACTGGCACAAGGAAAAAAAAATTATGCAGAGCAAAAAAACTAGCATACGGTACGTGCAAAGACTTTTTCTTCATTATTCCCTAAAATAATAAATGTAACAAGAATTTACAAACCATTTATATTATAATAAGTATAAGAAATATAGAGATACCTTAAATTGTAATAGGAAATGTATAGAGAAATGTAAATAACATAAGCAAATATAAGCATTTTATCTAAAGGACTTGAGTATCCAAAACTTTTGGTATGTGGGAGAGTCTTGGAACCAATTTTCTGAGATGGCTGACTGTATTTACCACAATAAAATTACTTCTCTTTTAATGGCCTTCTGTTTCTTAGGACATTGTAAATACTGATGTCTTCAGTTTCTGACAGTCTCAAAAACCTTGTGTTCTGCCTTTGGCTCTTTATTCCCTGCAAGTCATTTATCTCCAAAACAACCCAGGACCCCTTTGTAGACATCAATAGGAATATGAGGGCTGAGCACAAAGTTATAGCCACCCTGTGAACTATATGGTCCCCAGGAACACTGGGCAAGGCTGTTGGCTACTCTGACCCCCGGAGCCAACAGTGAGCAGTGGTCACTCAGAGCCCCTGATAGAGAAACGTACCATCAGTTCTTCCTGACAGTCCTGGAGAGTCCGGTGATCTGCCTTTGGATTGGTGGCATGAGCCTTCTGCCTCTGCTTCTCGGCACTCTCTAGCCATAGCAGCAGGTTTTGACTCAACTGGTGAAAGTCCTTTATGAGACAATGTGCATGAGAGCATCAGAGCATCGTCCTTGGAGAACTCTAAGGGGGAGCAGGAAAGGCAGCTTTCCTCTTCTGGTTTACCACTGTCCCAAGCCTTCTACCAGCAGGTGAATGAAAGGGCCCCATTTCGATGAAAAGCCAGGTCTCAAAGAAGAAAAGGGGAAAGCAAGGAGGCAGAGCGAGCGTCCTTGGCAGAGCCCTGGGAGGCAGCATATAGACAGTGCTAACAGTGCTTATGGAAGGGCTTCAGGACACCTCCACGGGGGAAGAGCACGTGTTACTGAGCAAGTCTGCTAAAAGAGTCCACCCAACAGGACAGGCTATGCGGGGTTCACAGCCCTCCTTAAGATGAGGTCAAAGGTAATGTGTATGGAGTAATTACACATAGACACTGGGCTAAGATTATAGATACCACCATTTTAGTCCCCAGAAGGACTCAGGGAAGTGGGCACTAAAGTAATTTCCATTTTTCAGATATGAAAAAAGTTTAGGAAGCTTAGTGTTAAAACTGTTTCTCTGTTCCAGGGCCAGGTCTCTGACTTACTCTGGCAAAGGACAGAGAATTCCCAATCTCCTGGCCTGCACTGGGTCAATGCAATGTACTGGGCCTTACTTAGCAGGATGGAAACAAACAGTACACAAACCACATTTGGCTGCCTGCACTCAAGCAGCCTGACAGAATACTGGTCCCACCACGTGGGCTTGGCTGCTGCTGGGGACAGGGCCTTGGGCTGAGTCAGCGTACCTGGCACTGCATGAGTGACTGCCGTAAGTCCTCTCGCCAGCTGTCCACTGTGCTCTGGACCCCTTCCCAGCGCAGCTTCAGCTGACGGAGCCTACTTTCGAGCTCTGTAGATTCGGTGCTCTCAGTTGGCAGAGATTCCTTGCAGCTCACATTGACAGAGACCATTAATGCCTTGTAGGTGTCAAAGGCTTTTAGCAACTCCTACCACAGGAAAAGATTAGGTTAGGCCCTCTGGAACTAGGAGGGGCTCGGAAAGGGATCTTCTACACGCTTCTCCAAGCTGTGGCTACAGCGACCAGAGGGACCTCGCCTGTGACTGGCTGAGAAGCATCAGGTGAGAGATCTTCCCTACAAGGTCAGTGAATGTGGCCAGCTGGGCAGCAGAGCCTGAAGGCAGAGGCTGGCTTCCTGGCTGCCAGACTTGATGGGAGGAATGAAGAGACAGACCTCGGTAACCTCCACTGCCCCAGCTCTACCACTGGCTTCCTAATATTCTGAAGACCACATTAAGTCTTCCAGATTAAGTATGTGGAGATTCTTCTCTTTCTTTCTTCTTTCTTTCTTCCTCTCTCTCTCTCTTTTTCTTTCTTTCTTGTCGGTTGTGGGGCCTGAACTCTGGGCCTGGGTGCTATCCCTCAGCTCCTCAGCTCAAGGCTAGCGCTCTACCACTTGAGCCACAGCACCACTTCCAGCTTTTTCTGCTTATGTGGTGCTGAGGAATCAAACCCAGCCCAGGGCCTCATACATGCAAGGCAAACCCTCTACCACTAAGCCACCTTCCCAGCCCCTTCATTTACCTTTAGAAAGCCAGAAATGTCATTCCATAAGAGGAACGGTGATTCCTGGTAAATAATGCCCGAAGTAAAAGGATGAATATGGAGAGTACCGGGATATCCTCAAACCATGCCTTAGGTCTCAGCAGCTCAGGCTTATGCTCAGGGTACCCACAAAGTGTAGATCTCAAACTTCCCTCCCTGCTCTCTGGGGCTACTTCCTGCAGGACAAATCCTGCTTGCACAAAAAGGTAACTAAGATCAAGCCATAGGGTTTATTAGTCAGTGAGCTGGGCTTCCCAACTCTGCCCCTTCCACAGGTCAGACTAACCGAGTCTGAAACAGCTGCAAGAAGGGCAGCATTCAGCCAGTGGCCACCCACACCTCCAACCCGTAATTCATTCGGTACAGCTGTGCTTGAGCAGGCACACTCCGAATGCCCTCCCCTCTGCACCCTAACTCACCTGCAGTCTCTTCACTCTGAGTTCCATTTCCTGGATGGTGGAGGGAGGTTTCGCCATTGTTAAAGTTTCCAGTTCTGCTTCGATTTTTGCCAGCCAAGCAGTGATGGTGTTGATATCAGAGCTCAGTTGCTGCATGTTTTGTTTTATTCTGAGTTTGCTGTGCAGCTCTGGTGATTCAACTAGCTCCCATCTGTCAAAGGCACCTGGGATCAAAATAAGCAACAATGCAAACAGATTTCTCTCCCTGAAGTAATTAATTATAAGTTAGGGTGGAGCGCTGGGTGCTGGTGGCTGAGATCTGAGATCTCAGTTCAAAGCCAGCCTGGGCAGGAAAATCCATGAGACTCTTTGTCTCCAATTAACCACCAGAAAACTGGAAGTAGCACTGTAGCGCAGAGTGGTAGAGTGCTAGCCTTGAACTAAAGAGTTCAAGGATAGTGCCCAGGCCTTGAGTTTAAGCCCCACAACCTACAACGGACCAAAAGAAAAGTTAGGGTTGTAAAAGAGTGTCAAGCATGCTCCTCACAGGAAGGTCTGAGCTGGTGAGTTCTTCTGGAACATTCACAACATGTCTCCTGCCCAGGTCTGAGGCCTGTCTTTCTCCACTGCCACAAAGGCTAGAAGGAGGTGGGATTAAGAGGTAGAAGACCTGACCTCTTGTCAGTATGTACTCTGGGACTCAAGTGCACACTTCAGTTTATGTTGCTGTTAGGGTGCTTTTTCCTTTGGTGCATGCTCAGCATGTAGCTGAGCAATTAATAATTTACAGCCTGGTCTAATGGGGAGATAATGCTTTGATCATCGCTTTCATGTCTGATTTTTTATGTACACATGAAGTTATTAAAGTATATACTTCTTCATCAGACATGGTAGTACACAGCTATACTCCCAGCATTCGAGAGATTGAAGCTGAAGGGTTATGAGTTCCAGGCATCTCTGAACTACATAGTGAGATCCTATCTCCCCGCCCTCCACCAAAAAAACCAAACCAAAACCAAAAACCCAAAAACCCATAACACAATAAAACCAAAAACAAAACATGTATGCCATCATGCCAGCCTCATTTGGTCAATGTTTAAAGAATAGCTTCTATTAAACCAATAGCCTACACATTCATTTATAAACACAAATCAGCTATTTTGGAAATACATAGGCTATTACTGGTAAGTTCGGTAGTTTTGGTGAAGGATAATTCATCCAATTAAGACTCCGATGACAAATTCCACTTCCTCTGAGGGCTGTCCATTCGGCCATACCTGAGGCCTGGCCTGTCAAGGCAGTCAGCGGCTCGTCTTCCTGCTGAGGGTTGCCATTCAAGACTTCTGAACCTTCTTTGTCACCATCAGCATCTGGACGTAATAGTAGCTTTACCTAGAATGAGCCAATTATAAGTCATCCTCTGTTAAATGGAAGGGTTATATAAATAACAACCAAGCTCATGTTAATAGGCAAGACATAAAGATATAGGGCCCTTTCCTTCAAAAGATAACTTCAAAGGCTTACACAGAGGTGCATGTGTGTGGAAAGCCTTTATGAATAAGCCAGCAGCACTGAGGATGGAAACAGAGTCCCCAGGGAGGCGGCTGAGGTGTTCATGATGGGAGATAAAATGGCTGTTTTACTTTGCATTCTTTCTAAAACTCCCTTAAAAAGCATGCAAAAACAATCATCAAGCTTTCCAGACATGGGCTCCTATGTTATTAGCACTTTTACATTTTCACAGTGCTTTACAAAATCTTCTATACTATTCCTCCTTATCACCCAACTAGTGCCGGTGGTATATTTATCACAGTGAACTGGTAGCACAGAGGACACTGCTAGGGTCATTCATCACCCATGCCGGGTCCCCGTTACTGCGCACACTGTTATCAAGGAGCTGACTAGACTTTGCTCTTGGGCCTTCCAAAAGGTAAATGTATCCCTTTTAGAAAAGCTATGCTTGGATTCGTTCATGTCCGTAAGGCCTGTTTGTGTGGAAGGGGAACAATTATAAATCTCTCAGATTTGTGCCTAGTTTCTGATGTAATAAAGGGGGTTGAGCTTTTGGAAAGGGCCAAGTGAAGGAAACAAGTGTAGTATCTGAAGACGCCAGACCACATAGCCTAGGGGGTGAGGCTGCTCAGGGACTAGGGTCTCTTTCAGTCTTCCTCTGCACCACAGATGGACAGATTAAAAGTGACAGCTGCTTGCTAAGCAACACGGCCAATCTGTTGTCAAATGGCCTTGGATCTGACCATCTTGGATCAGAACCATCTCCAACTATGGAACAATAGTCAGCCTTACATGCAAGGTACTGATTGAATCTACCGCTGGTTTCTTTAAAAGGTGGCACTTAACTGCAAGCTACATTTTCATCTTGACTATCTTGTTGATGATTTTCTGGACTAAGAATGCTCTGTGTCCAAAATTCAACTTTAGATTATCTCCTAAGGAGCTGCCTAGCCGGAGCATACCAAAACCTCAAAACTAGGGAGTAGCAGCTGCAGATATACAATGATCTGAGACTAATGTAATGATCAGCGTTTCTCAGAGCCTTCTTGTACATCAATCCCAACACCAGCTGTGTAAGACAGGCTGCCTCTGGGTAGGAAGGCTTACCAAGTGCTTTCAGCTTCACAGGAATGGACTGGTAGGACTGGGAATCAAACCCATGTCTACCACAGCACACCTTTACATCTGAGTATGAAATTCTGGTGTTTTGAATAGGTGTGGTCAACAAGTCATTGTTTCCTGGACATCTGACTCAACAGGAGTGAATATTGTTGCATCACCACAACATAGCTTTTGGCTAGAGAACTCTCTCTACATCTAGGTCAGTCTGACCTGGATTCTAATGATACATGGACAGTTCAACAGAGATTTTGGTTCTTATTTTTTGGAGGTGGTAGTGATAGGAATCAAACCCAGGGCCTTATGCATGCTAGGCAAGATCTCTAACACTGAGCTACTCAGTTTCTCAGCAAGCTCTGTCATCATGAAACAAAACAACTCAGAATTTGGGCTGCGAATGTGGCTCAGTGGTAGAGTGCTTGCCTAGCACGCAACCCTGGGTTCAATTCCTCAGTGCCACATAAACAGAAAAAAGCCTGAAGTAGAGCTGTGGCTCAAATGGTAGAGCACTAGCCTTGAGCCAAAGAAGCACAGAGACAGTGCCCAGGCCCTGAGTTCAAGCCCCATGACAGGCCAAAGCAAAACTCAAAATTTGCCCAGGGAATGAATACAGTTTGTACAAAAGAATGTTAGCATGATGGGCGCCGGTGGGTCACACCTGTAATCCTGGCTACTCAGGCGGCTGAGATCTGAGGATTGCGGCTCAAAGCCAGCCTGGGCAGGAAAGTCCATGAGACTCTTATCTCAAAAAAAAAAAAAAAAAAAGCCCACCAGAAAAACCGGAAGTGATGCTGTAGCTCAAGAAAGCGCTCACCTTGAGCTGAAGAGCTGAGGGACAGTGCCCAGGCCCAGAGTTCAAGCCCCACAACCCATACATGTGGGTTATATTCTTTGGGGGTGGGGTGTCAAGACTTACATAGGCTGGCTTGAAAGGGGTGCTGGAATCTGAGGGGATAGGTGGTACATTTCTGTCATCGTCCATTTGTTGGTAGTGATGCTTGGGACAGGAAGGACTGTCAGGAACATGCCATGAATGGCCATCAGAGATGGATTTACCTGAAACAAATGAAGTCCCATGTGCTGATCTATTCTCCAACCAAAGGACTCGTATTTAGTGACACAAAGATGGTCATGGATCACACGGCACCGGGTTACAGTGTCAAAATGAGCTCTGCAGCTTGGCTTGCAAAACATGCGTATTTGCAAAAATGTCAGTATGTCTCAAAGGGATGAAATGAGTCATGCAACTGAGTGACATTGTGCCTTCACGAGACGGGATCATGGTGGAGCACAACACACATAAGACTTGCTGTAGGACGAAGGGTGTTTGCATGAAATGGGTTTCTTAAGTGATGGGGACCCTGGGTGGTGAGGCCATTCTGGGAGCCAAGACAGGAGGCTGCTCAGGAATAAGGGGACAGTGCCCATGAAAATGGACTTGGGAACCAAAGGGCCACGTGTGGCTGTTTGCCACCACTGCTGATGGGGATGGGGGAGGGGACAGATTAGAGCTGCAAGTCAAGGAAAGGTTTCTTCTCCTGCGGCAAAGGCAATGGTCATTTCCTACCCCCACCCACCCAGCCAATCCTGCCCCAGGAAATCACCAGAAGCAAGGACAGAGTTCCAAACCAAGCCACCATGAGAAAAGCTTGGCCCATGCCAAAAGACTTGAGATAGGTGAAGGAAGACAATAATAATACTGGAAAAAGGCACCAGGAAGAATTTCCTTCTGCACAGGCCTGCGGGGGAGGAGCGGGAGGGCGCAATGCCTGCCCTGGCGCGGGCGGGCGGGGCTGTGTAAGGAGCACGCAGGTATGGGTGAGTAGGGCAGTGTAAATACACCATGACACAAGGACCAAGGCGCATGGTGTCCACAGAGGCACAGGTCAGACATGACATGGGAGCGAGGTTGAGGATGCAGTATGCGCCACAGGATGCTGCCATGTTGAGACACATGCACAGGCAGGGGCCTACCAGAAGACGCTTTCAAAGATTTTGTGGTCATTTTAAGATATGCCTCAGGATTTTCAGGGATTTCTACATCTGAAAAAGAATAATGTCATTGTCCTCACTGGAGGTGGCTGCAGGTGAATGCCCACGTAGTAAGTTTAACCCAGTAGAAATACTGCCAGCTGGATGGAGAAAACTACTGTCTTGGTTTGATTTGAATCTTGGAAACTAGACAGATTTTTTTTTTCCTTCCTAGCCAACTCCTCCCTGTGCAGAAGGTGGATAAGGCTAGAATGAACTCAGTCTACTAAGACTTACACACATATCACTCCAAGTTTGCCCAGGGGTCTCCTAACAGCCGTAACCATCTGTGGACGGCCTGGATATCTGAATGTGAATTTCTTTCCTTCTTATTCCCCCTCCCCCATTCTTTCATTTTGCCTGTCCTGGGAGTGACTCAATTCTCAGGTGAGTTAAGAGATGGGCAGGACACCACCCAGGAAGCCACAAGCTGGACTCTCGGTCACTGAGAGCTGGTTGTGGAACTAGGGGGCTAGAAATGCAGCCAGACAGGTGGACGTCAAGGCTCTGGAAATCTGGCCATTACCTGACAGTGCACTGTAGTATGGGCCTTCCTCGTCTTCTTCGTGGGAGGAGGAGCCCCCCACGTCCCCTGTGTGGTCCCACTCGAGAGGGATGGAGTCCACGCTGACGGGGGTCTCACAGCCAGACCGTTCGTGCCCTGGAGCTGGGGGCACAAGGTGACACAGAGACTGGGGAGATGAGGGCTCCTCGTTCTCTTCACTTTTATGCCAAGCGTCAGTCTGCATGTCTCTAGGGTCTTCCATATCTGTGTCATTCTCAGATGCCTCTTTTTCATCTTCCAGGCCCTAAATGGGAGAGAGCAAACAGGTGAGAGCATTCCCCAACTCAAAGCTGCTGCAGTTAGAAGGACAAACCCTGGCAGTCTGCCTGTCAAACAGCCTCTGAAAACAGCCGCCATTAGTATTCTAAGGTGGTTTTTAAAAAGAACTGGGTTCTGGCCCCGTACTTAGTTATTTGAATTTAGATAATCCAGACTGGGGCCTAGAATCTGTGTTTTACAGAAATTCCAGCTCCCCCTAAGCTCAGTAACTCTATCTGGCCAAAATTTCATTATGGTTCATACCAAGTTCCTCTAAGAAACAGGACATTTTCAGATTCAGATGTTCTGGGTAAGACTCATGACTTCAAAGACCACACATACAAGGTTTGATTTTCCTTCTTCTCCAGTCTTAAGACCTCGGCTCTTTATTGGGCTTATATTGTAATGCCTCCAAATCAGTCTAGGATAAATGGACTACCAACTATTATATTTAAAAATGAGGAATTAGGGCTGGGAAGGTGGCTCAGTGGTAGAGCGCTTGCCTTGCATGCCTGAGGCCCTGGGTTCGATTCCTCAGCACCACATAAGCAAAAAGAAAAAAGCCAGAAGTGGCGCTGTGGCTCAAGTGGTAGAGCGCTAGCCTTGAGCTGAAGAGCTGAGGGCCAGCGCCCAGGCCCAGAGTTCAGGCCCCACGACTGGACCCCTCCCCCAAAAAAGAGGAATTATTGGGGAATTCTGAGACTAGGTGATGAAGAAATAACCACATCTGAAGCTGACCATTTGGAGACATACAAAAGAAGCAGTGGCCAGTGGTGCTGGTCAATGGTCATCATTAAATCTTCTGTCCACTAAGGGAGTAAGCTCTGATGGTGGCCTTGGTCCTCCTGGACTTCCCAAATGGCCCTTGTGTTAAGGGAAACATCAAAGTTGGTTTTGAAAATACATTGGTCACTTTGAAGGTGGGCAAAAAGAATCAGAAAGGCACCAATATTAAATGTTCCCAGACGTGAAGCAAGAGGAAAAGACAGACACATTCCCAAGCTGTACATGATCCAAAGCAAAACAGTTTTCAGTGAATTCTAGGGGCCCTGACACATGCTAGAACAGTTCTTCCCTGAGAACACACTGTCTACAGGTAAGAGTAGCAGGAAATTCCAGTAGTACTTTTTCATGGGGTAGTGGGAAGGTGTAAGGAATCATAGCTCTGTATTAATGACAATAAAAAATAAATTGCTTGGTGTAACCCTTTCAAAAAAAAAAAAAAACAAAACATAAAGCTAGCTAGGTGCTGGTGGCTCATGCTTCTCATCCTGCCTACTCAGGAGGCTGAGATCTCATGATCACACGAAGCCAGCAGGATAGTCTATGAGACTCTTATCTCCATTAACCACCAAAAGGTAAGAAGTGGAACTATGGCTCAAGTGATAGAATGCTAGCCTTGAGTAAAAAGCTCAGGGATAGTCCCAGGCCCTGAGTTCAAGGCTCAGGACTGGCTCGAAACCCTTTAAACATCCAGTCAGACCCACACATGGAGCCCTGGCTGGTGGGCTGCTCTTACCGGAACGTGAGAGGTCAGCCGCTGGTGAAACCGGGAGACCCTGCCGAACACCTCCTGGCAGTACCGGTGCAGCTCCTCCAACTCATCTTCAATCAACACTGCATCCAGGGGCTCGCTCTTCTGAATGAGCTGCTCCCCAAACACGATGAGCTGGTCAATCTTGTTGGTGTTTAGTGTAATTTCCTGTTGGAAGCCCTGTTGAGAAGATGAAAGACAGAGCTTCAAAGGAAGAAAAGCTCCCTAACATCCGGCCACAGTCTGTTTCTTATTACAAAGTCATAGGTGGGGGGGGGAAGCATTAAATGTCTTTATGGTTTTATTCCTTTGTTGTTTTGTACCTAGTACTGGAGTTCCATCCATTTTTAACAAAGTGACAATGATGAGCTAATAATTTATAGCAATTACATATATATATATATTTTTTTTTCATTTCCTTACCTTTGGGTACTGATTTTTCCAATTAAGTTTTAAATGGGCATTTGCCATTATTGGGTGTAAGGGAGAAAGCTAGACTTATTGACACTTGGTTGAAACAGAACATTTCCAATAATAAACCAATGGGTATCAGCTTTGGCCTAATGCAATAATGAACCGTTATTTTAGGGGACACAATTATTATTATTTTTGTGCTGGTCCTTGGGCTTGAGTCAGGGCCCAAGCGCTGTCCCTGAGCTTTTTTTGCTCAAGGCTAGCACTCCACCATTTGAGCCACAACTCCACTTTCAACTTTTTCTTTTGGGTAGGTCATGGGGGTTGAACTCTGAACCTGGGTGTTGTCTCTCAAATCTTCAGCTCAAGGCTAGTGCTCTACTACTTGAGCCATTTATTGGAGATAAGAGTCTCATGGACTTTCCTGCCTGGGCTGGCTTTGAACCGTGATCCTCAGATCTCAGCCTCCTGAGTAGCTAGGATTACAGACATGAGCCATCAATGCCCAGCAACTTTAAACTTTTTGGTGGTTAACTGGAAACAAGAGTCTCACAGACTTTCTTGCCTGGGCTGCCTTCGAACTGCAATCTCAGATCTGAGCCTCCTGAGAAGCGAGGATTACAGGCATAAGCCACCAGTGCCCAACTGAATTTTTATTTCTTTAAACCTCTTATAAAATCTGCCCAGGGAAGCCAGGCGCTGGTGGCTTTTGCCTGAGCCAGCCTTGGATTGTGATCCTTCCACCTCTACTCCCTTGAGAAACTAGGATTATCGGTGTGAACCTTCATATCCAGCCTGGTTTTGAGATAGGGCCTTGTTAGTCTGCCTAATCCTTTTCTTTTTTGCCTCCTGAAAAGCTGGTATGATAGGCGTATGCGGCTCTGGCCAGTCCTTACGTTCAGTTGGCGCATCTTGTCGTCAGCATCACTCTCTGAGAAGTGTTCCACGTTGGTCAGCTGCAAATCCATCTCTGTGAGCCACACCAGAATGCTCTCCCTGGTGCCCTCGAACTCTTCCCTCTGGTTAGTGAAATGCTGTGAAAAGGGAGAAGAAAACCATGTTTGTGTTGACCATGGAACAAGAACTCAGGTAGTTAGCAAGGTGGCCCACGTGCCCAAGGAGGCCCCTGCCCCTGGGGCAGCGTGGAGGCCTCAGAGCACGGCACTCCAAAGCCTGCAGGTGTCCTGGCTGTGCTACCAAACAAGCTCCAACCTCTCAAGCCTCGGCTTCTACCCTAACAAGGGAGGGCGGGTGTGGCAGTACTGACTGTGCTCGCAGTTCCTTCAGGCATTTGAAACTGTCAGTGAGTTTCTGCTCTTGGCCCAGAGGGGCCAGGCTGGTCATGTGGCTTGCTTGTCTGCTTTCCACTACTCTTCCGCAACAGCTTCCATGATGGAAGAAGATTCAGCAGACTCAAGGTGGACAAGCACTCACTTCAGGCTGTGGGAGGCTAGCAGCCTGCCAATGTGCCTTCATGTAATTCTGACTATGGTGGCGACCCAGAGACACGTCGCCCCAAGGAGGCAGCCTCTCACGTTACCACCTCATCCAAGGGCAGCTGGTTCCAAGATCAATGTGGTGTGTGGGGCCAAACGAAGGTTTACACATCTCAACAGTCAAGTCAGTAGGAGAAAGAAACTAACACAAGGAAGATGTCCAATGAAAGGAAATGGCAATTCCTTCTGAGGCTTCAAAATAAAACAACAAAAATCCCCAGATTTTCCTTCCTTCCTTCCTTCCCCAGGCCTGGGGCTTGAATTCTGGGCTTGAGCTCTGTCCCTGAGCCTCTTTTGCTCAAGGCTAGCACTCTACCACGTGAGCCACAGCACCACTACTGGCTTTTTCTGTTTTTGTAGTACTGAGGAATCGAACCCAGGGCTTCATGCATGCTAGGCTAGGCAAGCACCTCGATCACTAGGCCACATTCCTAGCCCCCAGATTCTGATTTTCATAGGATCATTTTCAAAGCATTCTACTCTAGGAACTGTAGCAGGGCTGCCTAGGCCTTTTCCATTTAGACCTGGACTCACAGAGGTGTAGATAGCAGCACATCTTCTCAGTTACAGAAATCTAAGATGAAGACGGTCAGCTCCCTCTATGCATGGGTTCCATACTCAAGGAACCAACCAGCAGCAGACTAATATATCTGGGGGAAAATAATCCCTGTCTGTATTGATCATATACAGACTTCTCCCCCTTGTCACCGTTACCCAAACTATAACAATGATTTGTGCTGTATCGGGTATTATAAGTAGTCTACAGGTGATTTAAAGTAGAGGTGAGGAGAGGTTATGCATGAATTATATGCAAATACTGCATCACCCTCTATAGGGATTTGAGCATCCTGGAGTTTGGACTGTGCCAATCCCCAACTGTGTATTTCCTTTCAAAATGTAACCCTGACCTCTAGACTAGCCAGAGCGCTGGCCTACGTCCACAAAGCACAGGAGGCACACGCATTGTAGATGTGTCTTAGCCACACAGAAAACCGACAGATGGGCAGAGCAGGCTCTTTCTGGAGGCCCTTGTGTTTGTTGCCTTCACTGACTCAGTGAAGCAGAAACTTAGTCTGTGTGTTAACACACATGCCATCAGGGGGTGTACAGGTTGTAAAAAGAGAAGCTTTTTGGCAAATGACATGAACAATCTCTGCCTAAGGGATCCCTATGCAAATTCCCTCTGAAAAACGGGGGCCTTTGTGTGGGAGGCAGGCTAGGATGGCTTAGACCCTTAATCTACCTGCTCTGCATCCCAAGCCTGCCACTGCTTATAACAATAGGACCCTTCCCTGAAGAATCTACAGATAACCGGGGCGGGGGCGGGGGCCCATAAGGACAGTTACTCTGAGTCTCCGCAGGATGGCCGTGACCCGCCTCTGCAGGTTGTCCCAGCGCTGGTTGCCCTCGTGGGCCATCTGCTTCAGCTTGCTGGCTGTGTCTGTGCGGTTCTCCCGAGCCAGCCGCCGGTACTGCTTGTTGATGAGCTCCAGCTGTGTGAGCCGCTCATGAATCTGCCGCTGGAAGGCCTGCATGGCATCACGTGGTGGGGAGGGGACGTCAGGGTCAGGCAGGCCAATGCCAAGGCACCCCCTTCCTGATCCCAGAAATCCTGCTTTGAAGGGGTGGATCCCTCAAGCGGCTATGGCAATAGGGAAGGGGCTGTCTCCCCAGTGTGTGCTGCTAGCGAAGGCACAGGTCATCGGGACAGGCGGCATGCATTGGTGGGCTCAGGCAGAGCCGCGGGTGGTGAGCTGAGGTCCACCCAGCCCTTGCAGGGGTGGGGGAAGCTGGCAGCCTCTGTGCTGCTGTGGGCTTAGCTCTGAGTGGGAGCATGGGGCGGGAAGCCGTTTTACCTCGAACCTCTTCAGCTCTTCTTTGGCGCTGGTGTACAACACCTCGGAGGAATTGGGGCAGGCTGCGGTCCTCTCAGCAGACTTGAGCCAGTCCTCAAAGCGGGAATAATCATCTAGAAATTTCTGCCACAGGCGCCATGTCTCCTCAATTCTGGCAGGAGGAAAGTGACTTCGTATAACCATCTATTTCCACCTTGTACCTTGGGCTTCTTTTGGTCCCTTGACTGGGCTCATTTCCAATTGCCTCAAGCTGGCTCTGTTTAGGGAGATCCCCGCTACCCCTCTAGGAAGTAACCAAGGATGCCCTGTGTGGGTAGGCACACCTTTGGCCAGGAGCTCCGAGCCCCTAGGTGTGCTCATGGGTGTCGGGCAGGCCACCTGACTTACAGCATGTTTACAACCCGGCTAGCCTAGTCCTTACTTCATGCGCCGTTCCATGGACATGGCGCAGATGTTCCTCCAGCGCCTGTCCAGGCTCCTGGTGGTCTGCTGGATGGAGTCGCACTCGGTCTCGTTGGCACAGGCGTCCGAGTCGTGCAGCAGGACATCACAGATGCTGAACACAGACTCCACGCCTGCACTGTGCTGCTCTATGTCCCGCTGCAGATCCTACCATGGAAACGGGGTGGGACAGCCCTTGAGATGGAGGTGGAGGGACAGCATCAAAGGAGCCCCTCACCCTGCTCCTGCTCCCAGCCAGGGCTCATCAGCGCCTCGCGGTCTGCAACACGGGCAGGCCCTGAGCCATCAACGCCTGACCTGCACGCTGCCAACAGTGGCTTTATGTGAACTATGAGGTGGCACTGCCCACTCTGAGAGGCCACGTGGCACAAGATTTTGGGTGTACGTGGGACCCGATCCAAACCACCTGAACACAAAGGCCTCCGATTTAGACTCCATTTTGGCAAGGGCTTCTTTGGAAAATGGAGTCTCTGGAGTAGGAGCTACACCTTCACAATGGAAACTCTTAACTTTTTAAGGGCCAGATCACTCCTGAATGTATGAAGAGCCTGGCTGGGTGTCCCCACCCCTGCAGGGCCCGCCCTGCCAGTCCACATAAGAGCTCCACGGTTCCCAGAGAAGAACTGTGGGGCTTCCCAGCCTGTGGGTCCAGGTGAGGATTTGGCTTGGGGAAATGGCCAGGTCTCTGGGGATTGGTTCCTATGATAGCAATAGTGATAGATTCACATTTGGGGAAAAGAATACTTAGGAGGAGACATTGCATGGTTATAGGAAAAAGATGGATATTTCTTTAAGAATAAACTTGGGGGCTGGGACTGTAGCTTAGTGGTAGAGTGCTTATCTTGCATGCATGAAGCCCTGGGTTCAATTCCTCAGTACCCCATAAAAAGAAAAGTGGAAGTGGTGCTCTGGCTCAAGTGGTAGAGTGCTAACTTTTGTTTGGGTTCTAGAATGCAGCCTTTTCTGCCCCTGAGGTAGGGACACGTGGATGGTGAGGAGGACGGAGTATTCGGGAGATGGATGCCTTACTCCTAAACAACAGGAACTGGGCAAAAAGCAGACCAACATGAAGACAATTAAGAACTGAACACACTGAAACCTGGCAGATGTGTGGGCAGGCATCCATCACAGCCACCTCTCCCCCCCACAACCCAGTGCCGGGCCCCACCTGCTGCTCAGCCAGCCTCTTCTGGATCTCCTGATCATTGCAGACATCGTAAACCACCGGCTTAGAAAGCTCAGACTCGATTCGTGCCAGCCATGTGCGAAGGTTGCTCATGTTTTTGTCTAACTGCTGGATAAAAGCGAATGTCTCCTTCAGCTTCTTCACCCTGAACACATTTGCAGAAGAGAAGCAGAGAAAAAAGGGAGAGGAACAAACACACAACATTTAGTGGTAACATTTAGAAAATCTGTTGCTTCAGGTCATTTTTCAAATGGACTTAGTCTAATTACTCATTGCTAGAGTGGGGTTCCCAGACACCCAAACCTATCTCTCAGGCTCTAGGGGCAACAGAAGTCACCATTTCCTTCTCTCCAAAATAACCATTCTTGGCTGCTTCTGCCCAGTGTCTGGCTTGGATATGTCTGAGACGGTGGTCCTGGTCATCTGCCTGGTCACTGGGCATTTGGCCCATGATGCCTCTCATAGGATGAGTCTTTGAGCAAGGGCAGAACAGGTGCATGTCCTGTCGCTTCCGTGTGAGGGATGATAGTGCCACTGAACTAGCCCCTGTGAGCATTACGGGGCACCATGATGGGAGGGAACAAAGGTAATTTGCACTTGAGTGAAGCTCGAAGCTAACGTTCATCAACCTCAGCAGCCTGCCCCGGTTCTCATGCACTTGCTTGACATGGTAAGTCTGAAAGATCATTCATGGCACCTGTGTACTTTGATGGCCTGTCCTTACATTGTCAAAGGGAAAATCATTTTCCCTCCTGATGAAGACAAGGTCTTGATGGGTGCTGGTGGCTCATACTTATAATCCTAGCTACTCAGGCAGCTGAAATCTGAGGATCTCATTTCACAGCCAGCCCAGGTAGGAAAGTCCATGATATTCTTATCTCCAATTAACCACCAGAAAACTGGAAGTGGTCCTGTGGCTTGAAGAGGAAGAGCTCTATCCTTGAGCAAAATCACTCAGGAACAGCGCCCAGCTCCCAAGTTTAAGCCCTATGATCCACAAAAGAAAAAAAAAAAACACACCAAAAAAACAACAACAAAAAGATAGGGTCTTGTTATCTAGTCCAAGCTAGGCTTGAACTCACAATCCTCCTTCCTCAGCATCCCAGGTGCTGGGGTTACAGGCATGCAGGTGACAGACTAACCATGATTGTCTATACAGACACTGAACAAAATGCTTCAATAAACCACTTTCAAGGAAGCCCTCACGTGGATGAGAGAGGCTTTTTGCCCTCAGGATGGGGGATTTGAGTTACTCTGAGAGATTAAGGTAATGGTTCTAGTTGAAAGTTCCCATTTGTCAATGGCCCAGTTGGAAGATGCTGTCAGAACTGCCTCCCATGGTTGACAGCAGAACGAGAAATTGGGATGCCGACTCTAACATGCAGGAAACACACTGTTATCCACACCACCACTGCCCCTTTTTCCATGAAACCATTTCCTACCTTTGCCCGCCCAACTATCTTGGGTTGCCCAGCTGAAGTGTACAGTGAGGAAGGAAATCATTCAACCTGCACCACCCAGTTCAACCCCTCCTGTGATCTTTTCAACACCTCAAGTGTTCCATGGCCTAATCGCCTCTAATTCTTCACTCTGCAAAGCCACTCCTTGCTCCTTCTGGAACCTCTGGCAGCAGTCCCGCCCTCCATGCTCCCTTTCCATCCGGTCCTCACTGTGAGACAGTCTCCACCTTTCCGGAAAGAAATAGGCCAGGTGGGGGTAGCATCTCCCACAGCGCCTACATCTGCTGAAGGAGTGAATGAGTAGAAGTAGGTAAGCACTTCCCTTCCAGGGCAGAGTTCAAGACCACACAGGAGTACCTCGTTCAGTCTTTCCATTCCAGTTCTATTATGAGTTCCTTCTATGATTTAGGGAAATCCTTTCACCTCGGCTCCCATATCTCCAGTAGCCCGAGAATTCTCAAGCTGTAGCCAGGCAGTAGCTCTGATGCTTGACCAGGCCCGAGTCCTAATCAATCGTCTAGGAGTGGTCCTGCAAGGTACCTAGTCCTATGACCCCATTTCCTCATATTATAGTTTGATCTCTTTTGGGAATGGACAGTACTAGGATTCGGAATTCATGGCCTAGGGGCGCTCTGCCATTTGAGACATACCTCAAGTCCTTATTTTTTCAGGTAGTCTTGAATCTTCCCCACCTATCGCCTCTGGACACTCATGTGAACACTTCTACTCCCAGCTTATCTTGCTTACTTTGTGACTTCAAACCACACCCTCCCGATCTGCACTATGAATTCTGGTAGTACTCAAGCTGAGTACACCAATGGACTGATGTTTTAGATCTGAAATATCCTCCCAAAGCTCATGAGTCCAAGGACTGGTCTCCAATGGAGCATGGTCACAGGTGGGGCCTTTAGAAGGTGATTGGATTATGGGGGCTCTGATCTCGTGAGTGGATTAGTCCAGTGAGGCTGTTGTTGGTGTGTGTGTGTGTGTGTGTGTGTGTGTGTGTGTGTGTGTGTGTGTGTGAAGGTGATTGGATTATGGGGGCTCTGATCTTGTGAGTGGATTAGTCCAGTGAGGCTGTTGTTGGTGTGTGTGTGTGTGTGTGTGTGTAAACTTGAGGAAATGGGGCCTAGAGGGAGGAAGTTGGTTATGGAAGGTGATCCCTGGAAGGGAGTATTTAGTCTCCTCTGCTTCCCCAGCTTAAGGTGAGAAGCTTTCCACCACCGCATGATTCTCAAAGTATGCATATGTGGCCAAGTAACCACAGGTTGAAACCACTGAAACATGGGCCAAAATAAAGCCCCTCCTTGGGAGGTTGATTTTGCTTAGGTGATGTGTCATAGGGACAGATAGCTAACATCCCTTGAAAAATTTAACACCTTGCAAGTATGTTGAAATCAGAATACAAAAATACATGAAGAGGAAATTAGCACCTCTTACTTCAATAATACTAACTCTTCTTATGCCAACTAGGCTGCCCCCTCCATGTGGCAACTGGGCCTCACAAAATTCTTTTTTTTTTTTTTTTTTTTGAGTCCGGTCGTGGGGCCTGAACTCTGGGCCTGGGCGCTGTCCCTCAGCTCTTCAGCTCAAGGCTAGCGCTCTACCACTTGAGCCACAGTGCCACTTCTGGCTTTTTTCTTTTTGCTTATGTGGTGCTAAGGAATCGAACCCAGGGCCTCAGGCATGCAAGGCAAGCGCTCTACCACTGAGCCACCTTCCCAGCCCCCTCACAAAATTCTTTAACAAGTGTTTTAGATTTTTGTGACAGGGAAGTACTTGGGTTTGATTTCAGGGCCCCTGTGCTTGCTAGGATAGTACTCTATCACTTGAGCCATGTCTCCTGCCCTGCTTTTGGCTGGTTATTTTGAAGATACATTTTCTCAGACTTTTCTACTAATGCTGGCTTCAAACTGATATCCCTTGGATTTCAGCCTTCTGAGTACCTAGGATGACAGGCAGGTGTGAGCCACCAGCCCCAGGCAAGTGTTTTATTCTCAATAGCACCATAAAGTGGGTGGGCTCAGAGGTAGGCATGCTATTTGGTATTGAGGCCCTGGCTTGTTTGATCTCACTAGCAAAGTGGTGTTAACACATCCCCTTCCTTGGCTGGGTACCTGGGGAACTGCAGGGGAGGGGGAGGGGATGTAATGCATGAAGGATATGTGGGAAAATATCTTCCTGACACAGATAATGGCCAGGGGCTGTGGGCACGATCGTTGGAAGGACATACGTTCTCCAAATTGCATTCTTGTTGCAAACAAGATGCCCTCAAAGCGACATGATTTATTGAAAAGGGAGTAAGAGAATTCCAGGCTAGGCCTGGAAACAGTTATAACCTAGATCCCTACTTGGTTCCCATGGCTCTGGCCCAACGTTTTGCCACTGTGATTACCCAGAGACCAGAAAGTTTCCACACAGGCAGGGAGGGCTTGGCCTCCTGCAGAGCTCGGCTGGAGAAGAGGTTGGGTCATGAGGACCTCCCAGGGGTGGGGCCCAGTATGGAGGCTCTGTGACCTCCCCAAAGATCTCCCACCCTCTTTCACCCACCTTCCAGAATGGCAGCCCTCCTGGCCTTTATCTACACCTGGCCCTAAGAATCCCAGCCTCTTTTTTATTTCAACAGAAGGGGGTGGGGGGGCACACATGTTCATCAGGAAGCCAACAAGTAACAAAATAATCTGAGTATAAAGAGATCTTAACCCCAGGGGTTAGAACTGTAATCACTCCTTGAGAAGGAGGAAACATATTTTTCTGGGCTTCTCTAGAACTGTGGCATCTAAAATGGAGTGCCAGACAAACCAATGGGGTAGGGAAGTGAGATACAGGCCGAGCATCCCTAATCTGAGAATCTCAAAGGCTGTGAGGATGTCACTAGGGAGGAGATTCCACATTGGACCTCCTGTGACTGCTAACATCAAAACAAAAGCACATTGCAGGGCACTGGTGGCTCACGCCTGTATCACTGGCTACTCAGGAGGCTAAGATCTGAGGATTACAGTTCAAAGCCAGCCCGGGTAGGAAAGTCTATGAGACTCTTATCTTCAGATAACTACCAAAAAGCCAGCAAGGAAGCTATGGCTCACACAGTAGAGCACTAGCCTGAAGCAAAAAAAAAAACAACAACCTCAGAGACAGTGCCCATGCCCCAAGTTCAAGCCTCAGGACCAGCATGAAACAAACAAAACCCCCCAAACCATACTAAAATTATATATAAAGTCACCTTCAGACTCTGTGTATAAGAAACCTAAATGCATTTTGTGTTTAGACTTGATCCCAGCCCCAAGATAACTCACCATCTGTATATGCAAATGTTCCAAAACCTGAAATTCAAAATGCCTCTGTTCTCAAGTATGTTGGATAAAGGATAGTCAATCTGTATTATACTTTCTATTATTAGCCACATTCTTTTAAAATTTCTGCATTGGATATGCTTTGTAATTCATAACTCATTGCTAAAACAGTCAATGTAACATGTGAACATCTACTTGCTGTCATGTGCCAGGCCTGCTGTTTCCCATGCTACCAGCTCACTTGATCCTACCCACAGTGCTAACTGATGGGTGCTACTGAAGCAGAGGTTAACAAACTTGTCCAAGTCACATGGCCTTGCAGCAGGGATAGAATCCCACCCTGTGCAGTCTGGCCTGGAGCTGCTATCTGGTAGCCATACCATCCTCCATAT